ATGTAGATCATTAGTATTGCGACGCCGTTTTTGCTTAACTACAAAGGGAGTTATGATGGATGGTATCTATTATTGCTGTCAACCGCCTTCTTAGTATGTAATGATATGTATCAGCTATCTACATTAATCATTTTATTAAAGTTCATCAATTTTTTGAAAGGCTATAATTATTTTACTGTGATAATTATTGTTGAGAGAAACCATCTGCGACCTCCTGGAAGTTAACAACTGAATGATAATTCAATAAAATGAGTCCAAACATTTTGAGAAAATACTTTCTACAGTAGACTTTATTACCTACAAGTTTGAGAAGCAAACCTTGCACTAAAGAGCAATGAAGAGAAAATCTGAAGACGAACGTTCAAAAAGATATAAAAATTTGTCATATTTTTCTCAAGAAACAGCACAATTTCTTGTAGATAGTCTTTTTTAAGCTGAAAATACTCCAAGTAAAAAATAGATGTCGTCCATTAATTGAACAGATCCCACATCGATTTTGGATTTTTCATCGCTAATGTAGCTTTGAAATCTTCTCTGTCAAATGCCATATAAATAAGGGTTCTTTATTGTTAGTTAGTACTTTTATTAAATGCAACCCTCGAAATCCCTAGGAGAACAACTCGCATTGCAATTATTCTCTGCATGTAAAACTTTTCTAATGATAATTTCGAACAGTGCTGAGAGCATGAGTCATGGAGTTCTAACATAGTCAGTTTACGATCACTTGAGTTGAACAAAAGAACGTCCTGATTGGTCAAACTGAAGTATGTATTTATTGTTCTTCAGAATATTGTACATACGAAATTTGGCAGCCTTTAAAAAAAATTACAGATCGTTATTTTTAGCCTATTGCCCTACTTATTGAGATCTATCTGCCGTGAAAATTTCATAATCTTTCATCGAGTCGTTAACGAGAAACTCCCGAAATGCAGACTCTTTTTAAACAATAACGGCGTTGCAATGTCAATGACCTACATTCTTCGTGAAGTGCGTCTAAGCAAAATTTCAGACCTTCAACACATACAATGACCGAGATCGGTGAGAGCGGAGACTTTTAATTTACTATTGTAAATAAAAATTTACTCGATGTAACAGTAGTACTATGTAAAGCAGCTGGTGATGAAGGCAAATGTTGAACATCATATCTAGATAAATATGTAGCAAATGTTGGAACATCATTTCGTATGCCTGGTAATGAAAGTTTTTCTGTATCTTTTATATCAACTTGTAAATATGCAGGCCAACAACTACGATCAAAATATACACAATCCTAAAAATAAAAATCATTCATTGTTTGTTTTCTCTATATAAATTAAATTTTTATTTTTTACAGTTTTTAAATTAAATTGAATATTTTCTAAACCGGAACATAATGTTGTAAGAGTAATTAATCTCTATAGAAAGCAAAGAAAAAAAACAACAAAGATCCAATAAATCTAAGGAAAAACAAAGAAATCTTACTTGAGTATCACTAACTATTGCATCTGATGTATAGAATTTTTTAATTAATTTTCTATTATCTTGAAAACATTTTATATAACTTTCTGTTAAATTATCATTAAATGCAAAGAAAAACCATGCACGACCACGACCAATATTTGTTTCTATATTTAATAATGAATCGATTTGTGTTAATAATAATTTTGGAGTAAATTCACTAACACATTTATAATAACCATCTTGAACAAATTTTAATCTAAATTTTAAACAGATTTCTTTTTCTTGTATAATACGATATAAAAAAAGGTTTTGAAAATTTTGGACCTGATCCTAGACCACGACAGATGTTCTTATTATATGATCAAAGATTGTATATCAATAACGTCTCGTTATAACATATGTACTACTATCTTACTGTATTTCTGGAGGATTAAATACAAGGATGGTGAAGATATGTGTTTGACAATAGATAGAATAAAATAATCTCTCTTTGATTATCAATAGCAACTACATCGTGTTTTACAATTCGATTCTGTAGGGATTTTGTTGACAACTTTTTTTTTTTATTCATTGTTAGAAGAAAATAATTCCAAACAAAGAATATATTATTACCCATAGAGTAAAGCAAAATCTAGATGTTCGAGTAAACAATGCACTTGCCAATCATCATTTGTTATTATGCGTGAAGTTTGTTCATCATCATCGACAGCTAATCGATGAATCTAAATAATATATCATATTTAATTATTAACTTAATAAATAATGTTAAATAAACAAACTTCACGAATAGCTGCAGAAATATTCGTTAAAATTTTATCTTTTATTATCTTTGGTCCATAAAGATAACTCATAGTTGAAGTAAATAAAAATTATCTACAACTAGAAGAAAATTTATATACATTTGAAAATTGCAGAATAAAATAGATTCTTGTCAATGTGATAATATGAGTCATTTGTAATGAATCATTGAGTAACAAAATTATGTTGGAATTTTGTTTTTATCATAAGATGAATCAGATATCTCGGAAAAAGATGTCAAATGCTCCTTAAGTAAAAGTAGTGATTGAAGTTCATTGAAATGAACTCATGAATATTTATAAATAATGGTTGATTAGTGATTATTTCATTGATTTTCTCGCTTTCTTGAAAAATAATTCCTAAGAAATATGATAAAAATTTTAATTTGATCTCCTTTTCTAGATCCATTTAATAAATTAGAATTTATTATAAAGCTACGAACAAAAAACAACACAATTAAATATTTACATTTTTCTATTTCTTATACATTAGTTAGAATCAATTTACACAAAATGCATATATGAAAAGATGCAAAGAATATAAAATCACAATGGAAATGTCATGATTCAAATTTACATATAGCTTTTGTATCGATTCAGAACTATGACACTTAAACAATTAACTGCAGTCATGTGCAGAAAAATTCTTTTTAACGTATTTATCACAGATATATGTAAATTTCAATCATAGGATTTTCATCTAGACTATAATTTTCTCTTCAGTATGAATCACTCTTGTGTCTAGTCTGTGTCTTAGATTGACACACAGATTTTTTTAGAAAGAAAAAAAAAGTAGCTAAATTAATTTGAGTATGTAGGAGTTAGTCCAACTGTTGCCCCATATAATTATAAATTAATAGAATTCAGTCATAAGACAGATATATTATTCATTCTTTGAATACTTATAAAAACATGATTTCAAAAAAAAAACTTGTTCTATGAGTATTTATTTTCTTTACAAGACTGCATTGTTCTAATAATCTAGAAAGAAAACAAAAGAAATTCCTTATGAAGTATATATTAAGCGGATAGATAAAAGAATATAAACCTCTTTCTTTTTATACACGTGAAAAAAAAAGAACTCGAAGCAAATTAAGTACTTGAATCATTCTATTCATAATGTAAGAAAAAACAAAATTGAATCAAACATCTGACGCCTCAAGAAAACGAAAAAGAAAAACAAAAAGAAACAAAAGAAAGAAACATAATCAAATAAATCAATTTATTTATTATCGTAAAATAATTTTTTCTTCTTCTTTTATATTCTAAAAAACCATATATTTCTATTTTTATCTAACACATGATGGAAGTATAATAGAATTTTCAAAATCAAATTCTAATGAATTTTCATTTGATTGTTGTTTGTTATTAACAATTGAATTAATTGTTTTTGCATGACTTGTAAACCATTTTGGTTTTAATGCATTTTTAAATGCACTCCATGCAAAATATCCACTTTGTTCTTGTAAACTTGAATCATTAAGAATATCTTTAAGAAATTCTTTTGTAGCTATTTTAATATCTTCGTCATTTAATACTTGATGACTAACTTCTAATGCTAAATTTGTTAACATTTGTTTTGTTTTATCATCATCAACAAATTCTTTTAATAGAATATATAAAGCATCTTGATTATCTTTTTGTAGAATAGCACGACGAAATAATTGTCCAAGTTGTAGTTCTGTTTCAGGTTTTTTCATAACATCATAAATTATTTGAGATGTAAATTCAGTTACATTTTGTTGCATTTCACGATCAATCATCAAACGTTGTAAAAGACGTATAAGAGTTTGTTTTGTTGATGGATCATCCATAACACGTTCAAGAAATGCAAGTGCTTTTGATAATATATTTGGATCGGATAAAAGATTTTGAATAAGTTCTTGAGATAAAACATTAACTTGTTGTTTTACACTATCTAGAAAAATAATTGTTTTCTAAAAAAATTATTAAACTATGAATAGACCGTGTGAATATGAATGTTAAAGTTAAGTATGCACTATACTTTTTATCATGACATTATTTGAAAGAGAAATGCTTTTGATTTGTCGGGCAGAAAAAGAAAATATTTTGTTCACGCTCAATTAAGTCAAAATCAGTAAAGTGCAATTCATCTTATCAATTTAGAAAGAAAAAAAAGCGAGAGATGAAAATGCTTCAATGAAATTTACCTTGTTCTAAACTACTTTTTGCCACATCAGCAACTTGTGCAACTGTTTGATTTTTTAATGGTTTTCGAAAAACATATAAAAAAATGACGGTCGATATAATTATAATACCAGAGCCAATAACAAGTGCTTTAACAACACCACGTTGTTCATGAAAATGAAGACGTCGTAAAACCATTTCAGATATTTCACTTGCTGATAAATGAGAACGTGTCGGTGTAGTCTCTGAATGTTTTTTCGATGACGATGATACTGTATCATTCTTTACAGCTAAAGGACATGTTAAATGTATCGGTCGATATTTAATTAATATTAATTGTGAAAGACAATATCCTCTACGTATACAATTTAATCTTGTTAACATCTTGAAGAAAAGAAAAAAAAAATGAGATCGTTTTTCGAAAATTTAAAGGATTATGACTTGTTTTGTTTTGTTGCATATACAGATAATCAAAGGAATACACTGTCGAAATCAAATACAAGCAGAAAAAAAAGAAAAAGAAAGAAAGGACTTTGCGATCAAGTTTTTCTACTACCATAAACGTCTTACAAGAAAAAGAAAAAAAAAGAAATGAAATCAAATATCAGTGAATTATTATCCAGTCATATCTGGTTCATCATCATTTTGATCGACCAAATGTGCAACACGAAATTCATTATAATGTTTTTTACGTTTTAATTCAAATTGTTTTTTTCGTTCTGAAAAGAAAAACTTCTTTTTAAGTTAGTAACTTTATTATATAAAAAAAAAAAAACCTCGTTCTTCAGGTGTTAATGTTTGTTCATCATCATGATCAGCTTCAACATGTACATGATGATGATGACCAGAAGATGTTGATGAATCTCGTGAATGATGATGAACTAATATTGGCTTTATTGAATCAACTGATGAACGAGATGAAGATATACTAATAAATAATTAAAAAAGATTTTTGTTTTTTTTTTTTTTTATACAAGTAAAAGTCAAAGTCAATTTACGTTTCACTTCCTTTTCCTTCTCCATCGAATTCCTGTGAAGCATTAGTTGTAGTTGCTTTTTGTTCTTCTTGTTCAAGAGCACGTAATTCATCTTCAATCTCTTTTTTACGTAATCGTACAATTTCAAATTCATTATAATGTTGTTTACGATGAGTTACAAATTGTTTTCGATGTTCTACAAATGAATTTCAATTACAATCTTTTGTTTTTTGCAATTTATTCTTTCATGCCTAATTCTTCTGATGAAAGTTCAAGATCTTCATCAATTGATGTACGTGCTACACGACTGCGACGTGACTGAGATGGATCCGGCGAAGGTATTGTTGATTGATTTAATCTTAATCAATATAAAAGAAAAAAAAAGAAATATTAGAAGACAAAAAAAAAAACATTTTTTTAATAAATAAAAACCGTTGTGCAAGTGTAAGAGGATCAATTCCAGTATTCGTTACTTCCGGAAGTATTTCTTCATCAATCATATCATTTGGTGCATAGGGTGTTTTAGGTTCTTCTATTTTCATATGACCATAATCTTTATCAGGTGGATGATATGTTGCAATTATATTCATTTCATCAAAATGCGGAATTTTATGACTAAGAAAAAGAAAATATGTACTAATGATAATTTTTGAATTTCTTTTCTTTTACCTTCTACTTTCAGATCTAGTCATACCAGTAGTTGGACAATTATTTAATGATGGTGCTATTGTTTCAGGTTGAATATCTTGTTTTGCATCATCAATACTTTTTTTAGATTTAAGAATACCTCTTGATGGTTGCATATGTAAATTAGCCACTGGATCATGTACTTCATTGTCACTTTGCGACGACATTATGCTTTAGTATTTTTGTTCTTATTAGAATTTTAATAATTTATGTTGTGTAAAATGTTTTTCATCTAAAAAGAGGATAGATAAAAGTAATTCTTTTTAATAATAATTAAAAAGAATTTGTTAAGAAAAAATATAGACATTGCCGGTGTTAGCTTAGGCAATAGCTTTATACTTCTATTGTTACTCTGCGAAATAAACGGGGCAATGCTATTTTCTTTTTTTTGTCCTTTTCTACACTCTCTCGACACTAAAAGATATATGAAAAGAAAAAGACTCGAACGCAAAAATATAGCACGAGTGCGAGGAATAATATATGCATTGCTGATTTGTTGCTGAGATTAATTACGACTGCTCGTTTCCGTTTTTCTTTTCTTTCTTACACACACGCAAACGTAAACTATTAATATATCGGTTATTCTTTGGTTTGACTCAATATATGAATAACATTTGAATCATATCAATAGAACAGAAAAATAAATTCCAATGTAAAAAGAATCCTGTCAATAGGGATTTAAATTACTATTGTCTATTGGATCATATATAGAACAGATAATTAGTAAATCATCAACAAGGGATAGTAGTGTTAAATATATATAAGAAGAAGAAAAAATAGATTGAACATTTCAATGATATTTAAATTTGATACTCATAAATGACATTTATTATCATAAGCGAATTTTGATTACTGATAACAATTCGACTAAAACGTTGCTTTAAAATAAATACATAAAAGATTACATGAATAAATAAAATTCTTTCAATTAATAAAATGAATAGAATAAAAAATTTACCAGAATATTTAAGAAATGAAAAATTTTTTCAATTAATTACATGAATAGATTAGTTCTATAAATGACAATTCGATGAATAATTTAAAAAAACCTCAATACGATGATAATGATAATAGAACAATTAGAGCGTATGACTCGTACTCTATTGCAATGGATTGGTGTGTGTAACATCAAGGCATATATGTATTTAAAATACACTTTGCTTATACACACCAACCCACAAAGAATATTTAACTAAATTTAAATTTCAAAAGTACTAATTAAGAGATATACCAAAGGATAATGAGTGTACTTCCTAAAATTAATATAGATGTCGTTAAATTTTGAATCATAGTTGTAGCGGCTCATTATGACATCCTTGCCTTGAATGGTAACTATGAATACAGTATTCTGTTAATATTTATTCTCATACATATGGGATTAAATAATCATTGTTGAAATATATTCTTTTGTTGTTTAGTGTATAGACGATTCTTCTGAATGTGTTCTCGTTGTTATTGATTATTTATTAAAGAAAAAACAACATTCTCTTGAATTATGATGACTTGGCGACGATCATATTAAAAGAAAGTAAACTAACTTGAGTTTCATATTAGGTACTGAAAGAAATATTTTCTTACTAAGTACATGATTCGGTATTTATTTAACAGCTGTTTTATCAAAACTTGAACCAGATGAAAATCTTACAAGTGTTATTTGAGGAATTACATGAGACAATTTTAATTAAATTTCGAGTTGTTTGATCAACACAGCACATTGACAAAATGATTAACTCATAACATATGAAAAGTTTATATAAAGTGTCTTGTGTTTCCTGCGACATGACAATCAACAGCTGAATAGTCACTTGTTGGTCTTTAGAATGAAACAATAGATGCTGACGTTTTTTTTCTTTGTTTAATCAAGAGAATGATTGTGAAATTAATGTTAAATAAAATAAAGACTGACCATGTTTATTGAATAGAAATATCGAATAAAAAGTTTTCCAGTAGCATTCATCTGTAACATAACAACCAAATTTACTAAAAAGAAAAATAACAGGTTTTTGACACTTGTGAGTTTGTGCATATAGACTTTGAATAACAAATTACATTATACATATGAAGGTGATAGCAGAGATGAAACCGGAAGAATTTTTTCCTTGAAATAAATATCCCTAATAACAACACTAAAAAAATAATCTGTCTTGATTCATTCGATTCACAACCATTTTAAACGTGATTGAAATTATTTTGATATATGCATAATTCTAGAAGTATTCTCTTTCAAATGGTGTAGCAATCACTTTTCACTGAAATGTAGTATTGAAGAAATCATCAGGTTACGATAATGAACTGCTTCTGTTGTTATTAGGGTCCATTTCCATAATAACAACAGTAAGCTCGTTTTCGACTTTAATCATGCCCCGCTATTTTTTTTCATTCGAATAACACAACTTAATTAACATTAGAGTCCGATAGAAATACATCATTACAGNTTGTTCATAGCAACCAGTTCAGCGTCTGCGAACGTTGTGCGCAGATCCTTTTATTTCCTCTAACTTGTGATCAGAGAGTTTCCGCTTCATTAGTCCTAGGAAAAGACTGGAAAAAATTTCGCTCTAACTCATGATACGTCATAATATGAGGAAGAGAACGGTGAATCATCTGTAGACGATAGTGAAAATGTTGCTCCGTGTATTTATTAGAAGTTAGCTATTGACAAGAATAGGTATTTCGAAGACTTTCCCCCAGAAAACTGAATCGTGGTGAATGTGTTAATAAAAACATACTTGTCCTTGACCAAGTGAAACTGTTTTAATTCGTTCATCAAAAATACCCATTGTTTCACCAAATTTAAGTAAAGCCATCATTGGATCAGCACCTGGTGATAAAACAAATATAAGTGGAGTAATTGCTGATGAATCAGAATATGATCCAGGTAAATCAAATGTTGGTGGTTCAACAAATTGTTGCCCCATTTGTTTTATAATATATTGTTGTACAGCCGGTACCATTTTATCTGGTCGAAATAAACGTAAAACTAGCAATCTAAACAAAAAGAAAAAAGAAAGCTGTTAGCATAATTCCTGTGGGATTCAAATGTGAAACACAATGCAACTGCTATTTCTAGTCATAGGAAAATTATTATATTTTTTCTATTATGGAACTGATTTATTCCTCATTCTTTTACTTAATCTCCAAGGAATACAATAAGGAAATATTTCATATATTATAACGAAATATTATTGATATATAACCTGTGATCGTATATCAACACTTGTTCTAGTTACAGCCCATCGATTTGGTCTCGATAGGCTTTAATCGTCTTAGAAATATGTAAGATGTACTAATGACCAAGTACAAAAGAAAAAACAGAAGAAAGTAACTTGTATTTTTCGCGGTGGCTATCCAATTTCAATTCGAAAATTTCATTGAGATTATTAAAGTACTATTCGACTGGATCTAAAAACCGTTCAATAAACCAAGTCCGAATCCAAAATTTTGTATACGACAGACTCTAGTCACAGTCTGTGACGTGAGGAAAGTAGAAGCCTGCATTGTGACTTCGACATTTCTTTTAATTTGTATTTTAGAAAAAAGAATTCATTTTCAAACCTTTCTAATGCATGAAGATTATCATATTCATCTGGATAAGGTTGTTCATGTGGTGTTGGTGAATCATAAAGTATTTTCCATTTATTTGTATTTTCTTTGACATGTGCCATTAGATTTCGAAAATCTGATAATTCAGATACTCGAACAATTTCTGCCCATGATTTATCATTTAACCAATCTGGAGCAGGATTTGGATATGGATTATCGAGACCAACACCACCAGTTAATAGAAAACGCCATATATTATCATCAACTTCTCCACGACCTTTTCCTAATTGTACACAAAGTATAAATGAAAATAATAGTTTATGCCGTTCTAATAATGATCGGCAAACATTTCGATAAATTGATTCAGTAAAATGAGCATTTAATTTTCGAATACGTTCTTGTAAATCTGTTGATTTTTCACTATTTTCAATTGACATTCCATATAAATTAATAAACCAAACAAGTGAATATTGATACATCTAAATGATAAGTTTTAATTGAAAAAAAAATTCTTTTTGTTTTTATTTGTTTTACATACTGGATCAATATTTGCTAAATCTGATATACAGAAAAATAAGATTGTTGAATGTTTAGCAACAGGTAAATATCCTTGACGAGTAAATTCAATTTCTTTTTGTGTTTCTTCAGCTATTTTCTGTTTAGCTTCAATTTCCTCAGAGATTTTTTTCGATGATGATAATATTTGTATAGCTGTTTCATTTTCAAGTAAATTACCCTAGATGAAAAAATAAAAGAGGATTTAAAACAAAAATAAATTCAAACAAAACAAATTTACAGCTGATGATGATAAAACTTCAAGAATTGTATCTTCAATTTCTTTTTGTTTACGTTTATTTTCAGCTGATTGAATAATTAATGTATTTTTTTGTTCTTCAAGTTCAGGTTTTTCTTTAGCAGCAACAATACTTAATAATTGATCTTGTAAACCTTCAGATGTTATCATAAAATTAATTAATGTTACTTTAACTGATGCTTCGGGTAAATAATGTGGATTACGTAATTTTGTTGTTATATAAAAACGAAAATCCCGTGAATATTCAATAACATTTTCACCGAATTTAATGTACTAAAATAAATAATAAATTGATAAAATTCAAAAACAATCAGAAACTCATGTGTATGTTATCCATAGATTACAAAATGTCACGATAAAACATTCCTAAATGATATCCTCTGCTCGAGTTCGTTTTTTTTTTGCTTAAATAAAAGCTTGGGAGACTAGAAGAAACCTAAAAAGATTCATCCCATTAGGTCTTGTTTTTTCGGAATGATGATAGTTGAACTGGAATTTCGACTTGAAAATTTGCTTATAAGTAGATTTTATGGGTGCTAAAATGTTCTACAAGTTTCAACCGAAACAGAAACTTCCTTCTTGAGATATTAGACGTGGAAGAAAAGCTGCTTTTGTGAAATACAATCGTGCTTTGAACATTCAATATCTCAGGAAAGATACGTTGCTATAAATTCAAATTATAATAAAGCGGTCATAAATCGAGAAGGATTGATCTACTAGGACAAATCCTCTAAGGTATCTTCTAGGCTCATCAGACCTTCATGGTTAGGTAGCTACGTTATTTGATACGTATCTACAAGGCATTGTGTTCAAACCTCGAGATCACCAGACATGGAATGACTTTGAATAACTTACTAACGGTTGTTTGTCTCGGATCATCTCAATGGTTTATCTAGTATGGGAGCCGAGGGAATGGGGCTCCTTCAAAGTTCAAGCAGTTGAGAGCAAGAATTTTGCGTCAGACTGCCGTTCTGTCAAGAGCTATAGCTAGGTATTAGTTGAATGGAAGATATCGAGCTACTAATTCTGCCACTAGACACCACTCTATACCGCAAAGTAGTCGAAATGCACAGATATTTTTCCTTCTAGGCACGCACAATTTCATTTAGGGGCTAAATATAAACTTGAGCGAAGTGTATCATTTGACAATGTTCCCTTGCCTGAATAAATCTTGAAGGACATATTTAATAAAATTCTATAGGATTGTAAATAGTTTTCGCGAACGGCAACTATCTAATCAACATCAATACTGTCAATTTTTTTCTCATTGGAATTAGATAAGCGCAAAAGTGCTATAGAAACAATTTGGATTATCTTAACTTATAAATTTTCTATAAAAACATTAGTTTATTAATTTAATCAATAGAAAAAATCTTTGTTTTTTAGATCTATACAAAACAAAACTTTCATACTTCTACTCCTTGTTGTTTAAATGTTGCTTTAAGTAAAACATTATCCAAAATTGGATCTAATTCTTCATTAATATTTTCTAATAAAACAGGAGTACCAAATTGAATAGCATTTTCTAATGTTCTTGCATATGTTGGATCTTGTAATTTAACAACAGCTAAACGATTATCTCTTTCCATATTTTTAATCCATTTATTAGCTTGGGATTGAGGATCAATACAAAGTGGCCAACGACGTGCATTTGTTGCTATAATACCATTATCAACTGAAAATGAATCAACAGGTAAACCAGCTATTTGCCATGCACGAATTTTAACTGCATCACCAAGTGTTGTATTTAATGAAAATACATCTGAACATGGAATACGTTTTGATTTACATAAATCAATCCATTGACGAATACAATCCTAAGAAAATAAAACAAGAAGAATCGATTGTTTCAACAGACGAAGACTTTACTAACTGTACGATAATTAACAGTAAATGGTCCAAGATAAGCGACAACACCAGCACTTAAAAGTATATCACCAGTTAATTGTATATAACGTTCACCTAATTTTCTTGCTTGATCTGTCCAACGATCTTTTTCACCTCCAAGACCTTCAATAAGTTGTACAGCACGTGTTAATTTTTTTTCACATAAATTTCTTTGATCTTCTAATTCATTTTTTTTCTGTACATTTGTTTCATATTCATCAGTTAAAGCTTTTAAACGTGCTTCTAATTCTTGTACTTGTCGTTGTTTTTCTTGTAGTTTAGTCATTTGTTCAGATAAAGCTTCTTCAGCTTCTTCTAATTTTAATCGTTTTGGTTGTACAACTTTTATAACACGATCATATTTTTCAAGTGCTAATACCCATTTACATAAACCTTCACAAGCAGCTGAAACTTTTGCTACTTCAACTGGTTGAAATGCTGTATTTTGAACGAAACGATCACGAATTACTTTTATTACTTGTGGTTTTATATTATCTTTATCATAAGTTTGTAAATTCTTAATAACAAAAGAGAAATAACGAAAACAAAAAATAATGAAAAAAGAAACTAACTTTACGAAAATCCATATCAGCTAAAAGTCGAACTGATGTTGGCCAAAAATCTAAGATAGGTTTTTGTGTTGCTGGATCAATTTTACGTTCAGGAGTTTTTTCAAGCATAACACATACAGCTTCCATAACAAGTTTTACACCATTTGGTGGATTTTTCATAGCTTTGACAATAACCAATTCATTTGGTTTTAAAGTATCTTTATGTAACAAACAAAAAAGAAAAGTATTAAAAATGTTCACGGAAATGAACTTTTTTTTTAGTCAGATGATATCCGTGATGAACTTTGCGTTTGAGGAAAAATGAAATGTTGATATGACGGACAAGATATAGTAATCGAATTTTATGAGGAAAGTGCTTCAATTGTTTATTCGTTTTTGAGTCGAAACTAAGAATATTATATAGACTCAAATGAGCTATGAATACTTTGGGTAGTGCTCGAACCTTTAGTTTATTGCTGTGGGATGGTATGGTTTTACCTCAATGCGATGGTTTCCCGTAGAAGAACTTATGATCAAATTTTGCATAGAGATAAGCCTTAAAGAGAATAGTTTATTGTGAAAGTTTCAGATCTTTTTGTTATTTCTGTCCTAAAATATCGCGGTGGTAAAATAATTTCGTTTACATCGTTTATCTAACTTATGACGCGAAAGTGTTAGTACAACATATTTATTCATGTTTCGGCTACTAATAGTCAGCTGGTTACAGTCAGAAGTAGTTAGTTAGACTTCGACTCTTTCCGAATATGTATTTAGAATTTTCTTTTTGGATAAGATTGCTTGAAAAGGTTCAAAATAATGCTTAGATAGAGAACTACTTGGGTCAATTTTGCATTTCAATTGAAATCTATCGACCCCAAAATGCGAATAAATTTTTAATGACTCAATTTTGTTTGCTCTACAAAACATTCTATTTACTTTCTTGTTTTCCTAAAAGAAGTTTTTTAAAACAATGCTTTTATCACCTATGTTGATCTACATAGGAACTATTTCTTTAAGGAAAACGCATACATAAAATGTCATTTATTGTAATATCTCATTTTAAATAGAATTCAGTCATGTTAAATTCAAAATTATTCCAAGACACAAACTAATGACTGCGCTAAAATCATTAAAAAAGGAAAAAAATTCTGGTTCTAACTAATTCTAACCAGTTATTTTTTAATGTCTAAAAAGAAGTGTTTTACTCAGCGTAGAAGACGGGAAGGCAGTGTCCCTTCGAAAACCAGATTGACCCTTCCGAAGTACATGGTTATTGTATCACACATTATGTGTCTATGCTCGCAAAAACTAGATGTTCAGCTTCCCATAATTTTAAATCACTCCTCCGGAAAGGAAAATCTAGTTAAAACACTACCGAAAAATGAGCGAATATTTTGTGTCAAGATCTTTGCACTACAGATTACAAGTACAGGTAAGATCTGAAACATTCACACTAAACTATTCATGTTAAGATCTATCTCTATGAAAAATTTCAAGTCGAAATTCGAAAATAAGTTTTTGTAATTTTCCTGTAGGAGGATGCAGCATTAAGTTGGATACAATAAGAAAAGAATAATTCAGTGTTGAATCTTTTAAGGAATTTACATCAAACTTTTGTTATTTCTTATTCGAAATAATTTTCAAAAAGATGTTTTTTTTTCCTATTTATATAACATAAAAATCTCGCAATAAAGCTTACTTAATGCTTCTTCAGCTTCTTTAAGAGCTGGTAAAGCTTCCATAAGTTCATTTTCACATTCATCTTTAATCGATTGAGCTTTAGCTGCTGCTTCATTAGCAACAGCTTCATCAGCAGCGACAATTTCTTTACGTGCTTCAACTTCAGCTGTTTCTTGTTCAATACGAATCTATTGAAATAAGAAAATAATATCATGACATTCAAAAATAAAATTCTTACCATTAAATTTTCAACAACAACAGCCGTTTCTTTTAATTTCGGTTGTAATTCAGTTAATTCTTTTTTCATAGCATCTATAGCAACACGTGCATAATCAAGTTGTTTGAGACCATTTAAATAATTATCTTTTAATGTTTGAATTTCATTACGTTTAGTTCTTAATAAATCTAATTTACAAAGAAAAAACAAAAGAGAATTATTTAATAAATAAAATCTTTGTTTTTTCTCTTTACCTTTAAATGTTAAAATTAATTCAAGATAAGATGTTGGTGTAACATAATTATGTCGTGATAATTGTTCAAGAAATAATTGAGATAATACACGAATATTTTCATGAAATGTTTTACACATAACCTTTATAAAAAACAAAACAAAATGAAGAATTTTTTTTCTTGTTTAAATACTTTTTAATCTTACAACACAATTTGCTCGTATTTCATCTTCTAACTCAACTTCTTCTAAAAATTTCTTTGCTACCATTTCAAGTGCATCTTCAGGCCATGATGTAAACCAATCAATTGTACAACAATTGATTAATGATGGAAACATACGAAGACGATTACGAAAAGCATCACCTATAGGTGAAAATGCAAGAACAATATGAAGAGCTGAACGAACACGTTCAATAAAATAATTGTATAATGCCATTGGTGTTGATTCAATTTTGCGATTTAATTGTCGAGCTACACCTTGCATTTTATCACATATTTCAGCTCGTTCATCAGCAGGAAATAAATTTGGAATATCAGCAGTATTTAACATCATATTAATATCTTCGATAAATGATTCATCTTTCTAAAAAACAAATAAAGTAAAAAAGATAAGTTTGTATTAAAGAAAGGAAAACAAAATAAAATCTTACAATTTGAGAATCGTTGAAGAGAAAAACGGTACTTTTGCCTAGAAGAAAGTAAAATAGTTAAACATTTAAACAAAAATATATTTTAATAAAAGTTCTGCTTGGTGTACAAGGAAGGATATTTTTGTATACAAGAGGTATATTCAACAAAAAAATCATTTTTTGAACAAACATTCATGCGATGGAATTAAGTGCTCTTCTCAAAAATCCAATTTAGACAGGGTACATGAGGTATTGACAAAAATTTACACAAGTGTTGGGCTTAAAGAAGTGCATTAATAACAAAAAAAAATTCATATCTCCATACCTTACCACTCTGGAGATTTTCAGTGACCAAGTCACAATATAGAGCTTTTACACGTACAAACTTTTTATCAGTATATTTCAAGCTGCAGAGTTCAGGTTGTTTTCATTGGAAAGAGAATATCTTACTCACTTGAATGAGGAACAGACTTTTTTTTGATTTTTTAACTTTTTAGTTTTTCAGATCATTGAGACTTCAAAAATCTGAAAAACTCCAGATTTATCTAGTGTTGAAGACTATTTCGAAGATTTCTGTTCCTCATTTCAAGGACTATGCATAAAAACCACAGCTCTCTACAATGAAGTGTATTGAGAAAAAATGCAAAAGAAATATTTTTTAATTTAGTCTTCCAATTATTATTTTAAATGGAGGTGAAATATAAATACATTGCGCATCAATCGGAGAACTTATCTATGTACATTAGATTGTCCTCGTACGAGATATATCACTATTTACCGTTGCCTTTACACTTTTTTTATACCATTCAACAACACAATAAAGACAGAAGGATAACAAATTAAGTTTTTTTTTTTTAATTCGCTCATTGTTTTCTGGATATGTGTGTGTGAGTGTGGATGTGCTTGTGGGTGTATAGTACGGATGGATGCGGGCGAAGACAAGATTTCCACCGACATCTTCATATCATTGTAGATCTCAAAAGTGTCTCTGAGATTTACAATATTTGTTTACCTTTGGCAAGTGCTTTTTTATTTTTCACTTCTGAGTCTATAAAAAAAAAAATTTACTGATTGCTCTAGACATCATCTTTATTTGTCCAGAGAGTTCCAAAGATCATTCATAAAACTTTCAAGAATTAAAATTATGTTTATAATATCGAGAGCTTTGAGTTCAACTTTATCCGTACATTGAATCTAATTTATCCATTAAAATTATCTAGTAGTATTTTACTTGAAAAAAAAGAAAAATTTACAAATTATTGTTTTTGGACCATTATTATAGTAAAAAATGTTCTAAATTAAATTATTTTTCTTTATAAAAGTCTTCATCCTTATTTACCCTCAACTCCACTTTTTCTAAATAATTTTCTAATATCATCTCTCCATTCATTTTTTCCATAAGTTCTTGTTATTTCAATTTGAAATAGTTCATAATCTGCCATAAATGCTGCCATTTTACATGATGAACTCTATCGAAAAGAAAATGAACCAATCAATCAATAAAATAAAATTTGAAATTCATACTCGTCCACTTCCACCAATTCCAACAAGTAAAGCATGACCTTGATCTTGTTTCAGTATACGCGATACACGTGATATATGTTCAATAGCAAATTGAAACATAACAAGTTGCATTGGACTTTTACTTATAGCATTATAATCTTCTAAATAAGTTTCCATTACTTTTTGTAATTGTTTTAAATCAACTATTTCATCATAAGGTTTTACATCAGCATCAGGTTTTATAAAATCTCCAAACATTAATGCACGAATCTAAATAAAACAAACAAATAAATGAATGCGAACTCTACAGAAAAAAAAAATATGAGCGCAATCTTTGTGGAGTTAAAATGTGAAACACAATATAACTACGCTTGTTAATCGCAGGGAGATTATTTTATTCTATCCATTTAAGGACATATTTCTTCATTATCATTTTGCCTAATCTTTCAGAGATAGAATAAGGAAGTAGTAATAAAATATTATTGATATACGGTCTGTGGTGCGGATGAAGAGAAGTGTTTCAAAGGCATCTGTCACGGTCTAAAATGAAGGATAGACATTGATTTGGATGTCTGTCATGGCCTGTAGAGAGGAGAGAGGTAAAGTTTTACCTTATATGAGCCGTTTTAGGAAAAACAGGACATATTCACTTTTCATTTGACTTCGATTCTTTATACGAGAAGATTCACAAGTGTGACTCACCAATGGAATTGATATTTTACCCATAAGTGGTCCTCGACGAGACTCGTAGGAGTCTGTAAGAGTTTGTTTCCAATGCAGTGTTCTTCCCAATTATTACAGTTTTACTAAACTTTTTTTAATCTCTGGCAAGGTATGTGTGAAAAAATTGAATTACGAAATTTTAACCTGAAATTTTGCCCATAGGTGGATCTTGTGGACCGTAGAAAACTCCTGGCTTTCATATTTCTTTGCAACGTATGATTGTTTTTGGATATTTAATATCTCAAGAAGAACACATTTCTTTAGGCTGATAGTTTCAGGATATTCTAAGGTCTGAGAGACCTACGAATGAGTAAAATGTTAGATTTAAATTCTGTAAAATTGCAATAACTTGAGAAGGACACTGCATGCAAGCGAATCCTTATAGACTTTCACTAGTATCGCTGAAGTTTACTTAGGGACTAAGTTTCAGTTCAATCGATGTGTCACACTGGGGAATGTTGGCTCTTTCCACTGACTATTAATTAAAAGTAATTAGCGAATATCTCTCTAACCATATGAGAAAACTTCAGGATAGAATCTACGGTATAAATTGCATCCATAATAAAATTTTCAGCAAGATCGAACTCCAAAAAATTCCTCCTCAGAAACAGTTGTCTAAAAATCCTATCAAATCTCGAAACAAATTTTTTGTCTTAACATCATCTAGAGATTGTTAAGAAGAACTTGTACCGTTTGAAATCTGTTTAAACTTCTTATTCTGCTATAAGAGCATTTTTCCACACCCAATCGTCACATCGTTAACAAAAGTAAATCGATTTTGTTTTGGTCTCAACAGTTGTCTACAGAATGTATTATTTAATTTTCTAAAATGTTGCCTTAATTCGGAGGTTTTGTTAAACTAAAATGCATGAAATGAAAGTCATTTTGCTAATGCTAGTTTGGTTTTTTTACTGATAACTCCTCTAGAAAAAAGTTATTAGCACTGATTCTTCTAGAGTATCTAGCGTAACTTAATATATAAAAGTCAAGTCTAGGAAAGTTGATTATCCCAAGATGCACATGTTTTAAAACAATTTCTTAAACAATCCTACATACATGTTCATCTCGAAGTTGCTTTGGTGATGGTGCATTTGCTGGTATAAGATGTTCAAGTACTTTACCAATATCTTGTTTTAATATTTCATTCATAACTTCTTTAACTGTTGAATAAAATGTTTGTCTATCATCATCATCAATAAGTCGATCATAAAATACTCGATAAATTTCATGTATCCATAAACGATATAATTTTTTTTCATCTTTTAAATTATTTGATGATACAAGTAATACACCTCGAACAACACGCGAAAAATCTCGTAAATTAAATAAATAATGAGATTTTTGTGGTGTTGGTAAAAATTGTTCACATGCTTTTTTATATACTTGCAGTGTAGCTTGAATAAGTAAACGACCAATACGTTGAAATGATGCTTCAAAACCACGTGCAAAATGCCAATCAACAATTGATGTAAAAATTTTTTGCATTGTCTCATCACTAAATGAATCTATGGATACTATATTACAATGACGAGAAAATCGACCAGTTATTGTATTACGACCACCACCTGGTGGACCCATTGCGCCAAGAAAGAGCTAAAACAAAATTAAAGAAATTATTCGATTTATCATAAAATAAGATTAAAATTTACGAGATCAAGAAGTGTTATCATGGATGTATCTTTACGGTCAAACCAATAACCTTGATCAAGCCATTGACGCAGTAATTCAATAGGTGGCTGACTACCATATTTTTCTTTTGCTGGCATATTTAAATCATCAACAAAGATCATACATTTTTTACCCATTGGTGGTCCATAAACACCTTTACGACGTCTAAAAATATTGATTTTATTTATTGGAAAATAATTCGAAGAAAATTTTTTACCGATCAAGTTTACTCATTATTGTATCCATTGTTTGATTTGATGATGTTCGAGCAGAAAAATTAACAACATTAGCAACATATCTAAATTAGAATATAACAAATTATACCATATAGTATGTTGACACTAAGGAAATAGCAAGATTTTAATCAGGAGAAAAAGGAGGACTGAACATCTATACAATAATCATATTCTGGTTTGCTTCGAATAATATAATAGTGTTAGGGTAGAATATGGAAAAAAACTTTTAAATTAATTCTTTTACTGTGTATGCGTCGATTGCAAACATGAAGTCGAAGTAAATTGGTCTTAGTGCAATGGATTTGAGATGAAATTACTGTTCTTTTTTTGTTGGTGCTCGAAAAAGATTCTTTAGACGCGTTATCATCCAGTTTCTTATTAATAAGTCAAACTTCACATTTCTATATTGATTTACAAGTATAGTATTTCAGTCCGTTATAATTTTGAGACGCCGAGAAACCTCACACTGAACTCTCAAATAAAGGATGAAAACTCATGAGATCTATTTCCTATACTAAAATATTCTCGTCACAAGAATAATTCTATGTTGACCTGTTAGCTCTTTCACATGAAAGTCAATTAGGTTCTGATTGGTACTTGCAATCAGGATTCAAATTTAAGTACTTTTTTTTATCGATAGCGGAACTTTTTGCGACTACTGTAATAATAACTGAATGAAATTCGAATGAATTCGATTCAACCAAATGATGACAATAAGATAAGACAACGCTCTCATAGTGTCCTTCCTACTTCCTGAATCGATCACTATAAGCTATAGTTCCAGAGATATAAAAGTAAAATCTGGCTTCATTTCAAGGATAATTTTTTTTTGACATAAGTAATGCAGTGTTTTATTGCCCGTAGAGACCGAGGTGACAGGGTCCCTCTGAAGACTGAATAGGCACTCTCGAAGTTTTTAAATCATTCCTCCGAAACAAAAAAAAAAGTCTAGGTAAAATACTAAAAGAATGACTCCATAAGATTAGTTAATACAATGTCATTGACTTTTAATTTATCAGTTAGAATCTAGGTCGATGCCAGCTCACCGTTTGATGAATCGGTTCTTTTTCAATAACTGTTCCGGTTGTCCAGAACAAGAACTTATTACTATACCCAGTTGTCAAGATTCATAGGAGTGGTATCTACTACACGTCCAGAACTAATCTATTTGACTAGTTCAGCCCTTTTTGAAATGAACTGATCAACAGTTTTATTAATAGCAGAAAAGATATTAAATACTTTCTATTTAATTCAATTATTTCTAGCTATAAAAATGATTATCTTTTTTTTGTTAAACATACTTTTCTTTTGGTAATCGAACAAGAAAATAATTATTGATTGCCGATTTACCAGTACCTTAATAATCAAAAATTCGATTTAAAAAAAACGCAGATTTAACGTTTAAAGTTTTTCTTTTACCAGTTGGTCCAACAAATAAAAGTGGAAGATTATGTGAAATAAATGTATCTAAAAAGAATGCTTGTCGAGCTGTTTCATCTGTTTGTATAATTAAATCGACAACTCGAACACCATCTGGAATAGTTAAATCTTCTTTTGCTATCATATCAGGCCAATCACGCCAATGTCCAGCTGCTTTTTTTTCAAAATAAAAATCAAAACATGTATTTCGTTCAGGAAAAATATTTGCCTAAAAAAACATAAAAGCAATTTTTTTATTTTGATTCGAAGGTTTTTATTGTTTTACTTTTGAAAATTTAATTGATTTTGGTTTGGGATATTCTTCCATAGTACCGGTTAGAAAATCTCTTAAAAATGTATCAAATTTTTTTCGACTATCACCCGTTATTGTACCAGCTAAACCCCATATAAGTGCAAATAAAAATAAACCTTGTAACCAAAGTAACATCTAAATTTTAGAAAATTTGAATTTTTTGTTTTTTTTTTATGTATAAAATAAAATAAAACAGATATAATATTAACTAAGATTATATAGCATCTAACATGCATTCTAATTACAAACCTGAAGCGTATTTAATTGTGCCTAAGAATAAGAATCATTTATATAAATCACGTAGCAATCAGAAGAAATCAATTTAAGAGCGAGCGGAATAATCTCATTAATTTGGCTATTTTAATCTTACAGTTGCTGGTCGAATAACTATTTCTTGTGGATGTAATAACTCAATAAGCCATTTCGGCTGAAAGTTTATTTTTTTTTTATTTATTTTTGTTTTTTTTTCTTTACTTACTGTATTAGCATTTACTTCAGGATAAAGTTTTCCATCATGTCCTGTTGTACCAGCACCAACTATTTCATCCATTAATGATGAATATAAACGCATAATACTAAATGTTAAATGTATTGGTGATGTTGATAATTGAAATTTACAATTAAAACGAAGAAAATCAAGACATGGATCAACCATCCATTCAAATAAATCATTAATTAATTCACGTGCTTCTTTTGTTAATGATGTTGGTAATTCATATTGTATATAGGAATCTTTAAATACACGCCAACCAAGTTGATTTGGGTCCATATAAATCATGCCACAACGTGATACTGTGGCTGGCGATGCTTGTTCAAGATCTTCAGGTTCAAATATTAAATTCATTTGAGTATTCATTTGAATTATTTCACCACTCATTAAACAAAGCTAACAAAAAATGGATTATAAAATTATCAAAAAAAAATCATTTTCGAATTTTTATTGAACATTTTCTATAAAGATAATTTTAACAAGAATAGTTTCAAGTCTTTTGATTTGCTTCTATTCGGAAATAAGAATATCGGACTTTGCCGTTATGTAGTAGATATGTAAAAGCCACGTTTTTACCATAGTTAAATCTTAATACATGAATAGGAACAAGCTCTGAAACATTAGCAAGAAACGATTCTCGTGAAGGACTGTCTGTATGGAAAGTTTCAAATCGAGTTTTCAGAATTTGTTTTTTCGGTGACTAAAGTAAAAGTACAATATCTCAAGGGCAATAAGCTAAGGACCTGAACTGTTTTTAGATTATTCATTTGGTTCCACATAACGCACATAGTCTCAACTGAAAAGCAATTTATCAATTGAAAGGCTTCTCTCATTAGCTGGTCAGAAAATAGTCAGTCACTAGTTGTAAGAAAATGGAACAGTTCAATATGAGTGTCGAAATATAAAAATGAGCATAAGAGTTAGTTTTTAAAGCGAATTAACAAGGGAACATATCTAACAGTTAGATTAGATGATGTTCGGGTTCATATTATGACTAAGGGCTACGGTCCTTATACTAAGATTTTTATTGATAACAAGATATTTCTGGAAAACCTAAAATAAAGAGTTATGATCTGAACTTTTGACTATAAATAGGTTTAATAATCATTAGATAGATTTATCTATAGGCAAAAGTTCAGACTATGCTTTCTGAGTTTCACATTAAACACTTATTCAAAATTCCAAGTTATATCAACTTTTACAATCTAAAATTTACAATTCTAAAATCTAACAAATTCGATAAATTTCTAATCTTTCCATTTAATTTTCACACAAACCTTTTTATTATCATCAAGAACTGTATTCATGTTTTCAATCCAAACAGCATCAACAGGTCCTTAAAAAAAATTGATCTATCGAAATAATTCTATTCTGTTAAATATTAATTTTACCATCAAAAATAATCCATTTTCTATCTAATGTTTGACTAGCTGCATATTCTCGAAATGTTGTAGCTAAAACACCTATTCAAAACAAAATATTCAAAAGTTGAGATATTTTTCAATATCAATTATTTACCATCAGTCCATTCATGTGAAACCTCTGCAAAAGAAAAACAAAATATATCTTATTTACATTTTTTTTTGTTAATTAATCTTACTATCAAATTCTCCATAAAGTTGTCCAATAGTAATTGATTTTGGATTAATAACTTTATAAATAACTTTATGTTCATCCATCATTCCTGCAGCTTCTAAATCTCCTAAAGCAGCAGCTAAAACTTTATAAGCTGCTGATTTTCCACCCATAAATGGTCCGACAATCATAAAACCATGACGAACTAACATCATTTCATAAATCTTTCAAAAAGAAAAAACAAACAATTTCTGTTTTGTTTTTTATAGATAAAGGAAATTTACTTGAATTATTTTATCAACAAAAAATTGTACAGGTTGTAATTTTAAATGCTTTGAATTATTATGAATAGCTTCAAGAAAAACTGCATAATCAGGTGTTGGTAAAACAACACCAGGAAATAGATCACTAATAATGCCTTCAAATAGTGGAACATCCTATTAAACAAAATATAGCATTGATTTTTCAACCAAAAAAATAATTTTTTTTTTCACTTGAGCAAGAAATTTTGGTAAGTTAACATCTTTAATAGCACGTAAAACTAAGATTGATTCATCTTCATCAAGATATTTCTGTTTTAAATTTCCAGATGCTGTTAAAACAGATTTAACAGCACGCATACCATAATCATAATGATGTTGAGATGATAATTGTTCGGAACATAATTTATATGTTGCGACAATTTTTCCAGATAAAGAACGAGCATCAATAAAACCCATTGAATATAAACTAATTTCACCAATCATTGCCTTTAAGAAAAATATTGTTTTATTAAATCATTCTATTTATTTAATATATGACTTACATAATCCGGTACCATCATAGCTACCGTACGAAAAAGTACTTTTAAATTATCAGGTAATTCTGATCGACCAGCATAACCAGGATTCTATAGAAATGAAAGATTGTTTTTTTCTATGTTCTATTTAAATAAATAAATAGAAAATACCATTGTTATAAATACAGAACATGTTGGATTAAGTTCAAGTTCCGTATCTTCAAAAATAAATCGTTTTTGATGAGCAGCTATAGCTCGTTGAATTAATTGAATTTGTTGAGCTACGACTGATAATACTTCTAATTCAATACGATTAAATCTATTATTTAAATAAAATACAAATAATACGATTTTACAGCAAAAAAAGAAAACACTTACTCATCAAAACAGGCCCAAGCACCTAAAATAAATTTAAAAGTATAGATCAAATCATTTCTTTTATGAAATACAATTCATCATGTATAGACGAGTCTATAATAGAGCTCGTTGGATGACAAATTTTTGGACCCAGACACGATTGAGTCCTCCTTTGATACTTCCAATGGAATTTTCTAATAGGAATTGGATAGTCGTCCAGAAGATACAAGATACTTTTTCCTATTGGTTCATATTCGATGACTAGTGCACCCTGACCATTTCTGAGACGGCAAGAGCTCGTAGGATTCGAATTTTTCGGATCTGGACTCCGGTTCGAAACTAACTCGAAGAATTCTAGTCTATAGCGAACAAGTTTTATTTCCTTCTACTCACTGAATATCATTAAGCCCATTGAGTTGGTTCTAGTGTACTTGTTAGACTTGAGATCGCAGCTGTTAGAAGAAAAAGCTATCTAATTGAAACTAAAGATTCTAGTCCAATATTCTATGGTGTCAAGCGAATTATCTCATACATTGTATCAATGGAAAACAAAATTCGGAAGAGATGAGCAATAAAAGAATGGCATTCGTCGATTGAATAAAATGAATTCAAGATTAACACAGAAACTGAAATACTCTTGATCCTGGATATCTCTACTTCTGAATCTATTTACTATAGAAGTCCAAGTATCATTGATTTTTCAATATTCGAATTCATCCATAATAAATGAAAGTTTATTGAAATATAAAACAGGTATATCTTACCTGATTGAGCTAATCCTTTAAAGAATTTCGACATTGCTTTATAATCCAAACTATCTGAACAATTGAATACAATACATTGTTTTGCAACAGCTTTAGCTAAATCTTTTGTTGTTTCTGTTTTTCCTGTACCAGCTGGACCTTCCGGTGCACCTCCCAAGTTTAATTTTAATGCACCCATTAATGTTCTAACAAATAAGAAAAATATATAATATAAGCACTAATGTATTTTCGAATTTTTTTCTCAACAGTAACAATTAAGAGAAATTTGAAGAAAAATTTCAGTAGCTAAAATAATTTCCTATCAGATCTTTCAAAATTTTCTAATTTGTCATAACTATTCGAATTCAGAAAATTACACTTTTGCCTTCGATTCATTTCTTTACCTATAACATCGATCTGTTAATGGTGTAATAACCAAACGAGATGTATTACCCAAATATTCATATGCATATTCAAGTTCCGTTGCTAAAATAATTTTACAATAAATAATGAAAATGATGAAAAATGAAAACAAAATAAAAACATACAAATCATATTAACCATAAGTTTTTCTTCTTCTGTTTTCCAAGAATATCTTAATTGTGATATCCAAATAAATTCCGTTATTTTACTAATTTGTGTTTGAATTAAATTTGTAACAACATCTCTTGCATGTACATCAATAACAATTAATGCTTCTAATGTTCGTCTTGGTCCACTTTCTAATTTTCCTCGAACAATATTAACTGTATCTTTAATTTGTTCATTAGATTTTAAAAGAAATTGCTCTAATGTATTATTCAATATTGATTCTTCAACTTCTGTTGTCCAATAAACTTGACTTGCACATATAACTATTTGTCCTGGCCATTCTAAAACCCATCGTTTTCTATCACGATTTACATATGCACTTAATGCTTCTTTAATTATCATACGTATTGATAAAAGCATTTGATCTTCAACTTGTATTAACCATTTTTCAACCATACCACGTGCTTTACTTGGATTAATTGTTGATTTAAATTGTACAACTTCTTTTTCAACAGATATCATTGCTGTTATTTCTTGTTGTTCATTAAATTCTAAACGATTAATACCTTCGAAACATTTTTTTAAATGTGGTTGAACACGTAATGGATCTTTTGTTTCAGATAAGATTTCAAGTAATTCTTCATTTGATAGAAAAAAGAATCTATTTAAAGAAAAAGAATATATAAATATATATATATTTGTTTTTTTTATTAATAAATTCAATTAATTCTTTGAGTACGGGCGATGTAAATTCGTGTTCTGACATTTTATATTCGGGACAGTTATATTCTGAATTGATTATTCAATGAAATGAAATACAAAAACGTTTCGACTTACAATATGTGACCAATCAAGATCAACTAGTATGAGCAGTTATCGTTACTTTTAAAAGTCACTGTGTTTCCCATATCTCGAAATATTGATATTTTTCATGTTAAACTGTTCATTTTTGGTTTTATTTTGACCTTTTTCAATTGAAATGTAATACATGTGATTCTGTTCTGATTACGCAAAATACCAGCAACAGTAACGATACATCCTTAGCTCGAATAAATTCGGATGCGATTTCAAATGAATTAGTTTGAAAAAGCATTAGAAGAACAGCTAAGCTGATTGAGAAGAGAAATCCTCCAAATGATAAATCGCTTTGACTGTCACGGTATTTTTTTACAGGAATGTCATGCCCTCCCACTCCGTCCCAGAAACACTGGAAAAACTTATTTTCGAATTTCCACTTAAAACTTAGTATAGAGACAGATTTACCATATCCAGATGTTACAATCAAAACTTTTTCGATGTTTTTGCTTTTTATCACTATTATAGCTTCAAAGTGTTCTCTGCCACATGGCATGTAAATGAAAGCTCTTTGTTATTAGTTAGTACTTCTATTAAACCCAAATCTGACACTGTGATTATTCTTTGTATGAAAAGCTCTCCTAATGATAATAATTATATTGGAAAATATTTGGGTTGCAATGTTTTTCCTTTGTTTTAAAAAATATTGCACACAGGTTTTACTAAAAACTTTTGTAGGTACACTCAGTATTTTCGTCTTTCTATTTGAATGAAAGGAGGTAAAAAAAGAAAAGTAGGCACCACAAACAGTGTCTTGTATCTGTAAAAGAAATTGCTGCTCTATCGAACTTTTTACGGTCGAGAAAGCTAGGCGAGTTTTATTTATATGAGCGATATAAACGACACGCTATTACCATAGTTGTACCTTAGGATAGGAATAGTCGACAAGATCTGAAACATTCATAAAAAAAAAACCTATTCTCGTTAAGGTCTGCTGTCTCCATTCAAAGTCGTACTTCAAAAATCAGGTTTTCTGTTACCGTGGCATTTATTTTAAAAAATGCCGTAAATGTGTACTATCTCCAAAGCAACACACTAAGGATATCGAACTCTTCTCAAGGTATTCATATGAATCTACATGACGTACATAGTCTCTAATAGAAAATGATTTATACTTTGAATAATTTCCTTCATGAGGAACGTTATTTTGAATAATGTCTTTCATGATACTAACAAAATTGATTTCGTCTTTTGAAAATGTTCATTTTCTTTTAAAATAATCCCGTACTTAAAAAACTAAAAACAAAGATTTACCGTGGAAAAAATAATCTTTTCTTTTCTAAATAATTATTAAGGCCTTTTTGAATTTCTTCAAGTAAACGAAAACCTTCACGTAATTTGTCTAACATTCCTGGTTGATTTGTTGCAATAAGTACATGAGCATCTTGAACAGCATTTATCATAATTTCTTTCCAATGATTATCAACAGTATCTAAAAAATGAAATTTTTTTTGTTTTTTTGAAAATCTAAAAGAATAAAATTAAAATATTTACTAAATTTTCGCCCTTCTTCAGGCATTTGATTGACAATATCATCTGAACTGAAGATTGGTTCAAGATAAAGCCATGCTGCTTGTACTTTAAGCCATATATCAATTATATCTTGTAATAAAGTAAGTCGATCACACCATACACGCATATCATCTTCTAATGGTTTTATAAATGGACTACCTAACATTGTTTGTGCTTTTATAATATGATCATCTAACATTAATTGGATATCATCAACAGCTGATAATATATATGCTGATGTATCACGATATTTAACAAATGTAAATAACATTTCATTCCATTCATCTTTCATTTTACTCATAGCTTTTTCAAGTGAATATTCTTTTGATGCACTACCACCAATTTCATCTAATTTATCAACAAATTTGGCTAAACCAAGTTCAATTAAATCACTTAATGATGCTGTTTCATCATGTGGTAATACAAGGCCAACTAATTGACTCATTTGTTCCCAATGACGTTCTTTTAAACCAGGATTGCATGTAACTTGTAATAATGGTATATGGACTTTAAATTTATCAATACGACTTTTAATTAAATCAGCAACACGACGAGGACCAACTTGATCAGTTAAAGATTTTTGTAATTTATGAACTGTACGCCACATATTTTGAACCTGTTTAAAAAGAAAGAAAATTAATGCAGTTTATCGTTTTTTATTTTAGACGATGTTCGAACGCTTTCAAAAGTATTCACTATAAGAAGTTTTATTATAATAAAAAACCTTTTTTGTCTTATATAAAAATGAGATGGAGAGGGAGATAAAAGATAGAGTAGTACAAAAGTTTTTTCGTTCGGATTTTCTAAAAGTCATAATTTAAGTGCAAGTTTTCTATTATCATTCATAGACTTATTTAAGATTAATATGTTTGTTGATATAAGTTTGAGTTCTCATGCGAACAATTTTGGCAATATGATTTCACACGAACGTATAATTTTTTTTATATCAATGACAAAATCTAACCCAGGGTTAAAAAAACAATCTGTCTCATTGGAGTTTTAATCCAGTGCACATTCTCTATTAGTGAATAAACAATCCAACATTTCGCCAACTCTGCTACACACAGAGAAGATTCAGACTTATATCGAAAATGACGTGTGACGAATCTGACAAAAATAAGAAAATATAACGATTCATAAGAGCTGAAATATTAATCCGAGAATATCTCTAGACACAGAGACGGAACTAATGCAAGTTATTGATCGGTTCGATAGACCAGTCATTACCGATGTGTCCCATTCATTTTTTTGCTTTTAGTTTCTCACAGAGAATGTATAATGACACTTTGTTGAAAGTTTGCTATGTCGAATATCACTATTCAAAGATGGAATAGTACAACAACTTGTCAGTCTAGTGTCGGTATAGTTTTCAGACTGGTGCTCATCTCTGTCTAAATGTCAACGATCATTTTCGATTAGTTAGTAGAACTTCTTCAATATATCATTTAACATAAAAAGTATATTTTATTATCAAATGTAAATAGAATCAAATTTAGCTATATGTCCTGAAAAAATCATGATAAGATTTTTCATGGAATACTTCAATGCTAAGAAAATCGCACAAATAGAGCTCATTGGGCTCGAGCCACAAATGAACATCTCTAGGCAATTGTAATGGATTTTATAGAGATATGTGCGCTATACCAGCAGTAGTGCGAACAAACGTGCAACTTGGTTAACTTATCGAAAATAGGAATAAATACTTTTATATTTATAAAAAAAAGGCTCATGTTTTTCTTTTGATTTAAACATACTTCATCATTGATGCCTTCAGCATTAAGACCTCGAAATGGTCCATTCATCCATTGTTCATAAGATGTATAAAATTGCCATGCTGTATTCCATAATTTTTCATATGGATCTTTAGCAACAACTATTTCTTGCAGTTTAGGAAATGGTGTTACTTCCCAAGCAAGTAATGTTTGATCACGATTAATTAATTCACCTTCAAGTTTATATTCTTCAAGAAGTTTATTAATATCAGCTAGTTTTTCAACATTTGAACGCATTTCTTCATTACTTAATACCTAAATATACAACAAAGAAAAAAAATTTAAAAAGAATATTTAGAATTTAATTTTACTTCTTTTCGTCGAAATAGATCAACATCTTTTTGTAAGTCTTCAAGTTTCTTTTCAAATTTAAGAATATGATCACGTAAACGTTCTTCAGCTCGTTCACTAAAATATAAATACTAAGAAAAATACAACACACAAAAAAAAACAGAATCTATTATTTTACCGTAAAGCTGCTAATCGACCTTGATTAAGTTCTAAAATATTCATTATATTTTCTGGCCAATGAAATACTTGTGCATTAAGTTTTAAATCTTCCGCTATAAGGAAAAAAATAATAAACTTAAAAAAAAACATATATATCTTTCAAACTTACGTGACATAAGAGCATATTCCAATAAAAACATTAATCGATCTTTAGCTTCTCCAATTTTATGTGCTAATTTAAAAATTGTCGTTTCTAATGCTTTATTAAGATAATCGGCTGTTTTAACTAATTCTTCAGTTTCATCAGCTGGTACACTAACAGTTGTAGCTATTTCATCATATTCTCGAACAATTTCTTTATTTAATTTTGAATTATCATCAATACAATGTTGAACTAATTTATTTCGTAATTTTTGTACAATTTTTATTAAATGATCATTTAGATCACGACAATCTAAATTAAATAAATTCAATGGTGCCCATATACGTTTAAGTATTATTTCATTAGATAATGCTGTTTTTTGTTTTATTTCAAATTCAAATTCATCAAGTGCATGTGTTTGACGAAGAAATTCAATTGTATCAGATTCAGATTTATTATTTAATAATGTTTGATATTGATCATATTCATGTAAATATAATTGTGGTCCAGGAATATTTTTTGTTAATACATATAATACACGTTGTGTCGTATTTTCAACAATTTCTTCGTCAATACGTACATTACGAATAAGTAATTTTGTTTTTGAATCAAATAAATGTGATTCAATACGTGGTATATTAGCAGCACCATTAACAATATGTTTTATACAACGTTGAAGCATTGAACGAATATCTTGATTTGTTGGATCAAATGCTATTTTAGGTCCATCAGCATATAAACGTTGTATAAATACAGGTTTTTGTGCAAAATCCATAACATGATATATAGATTCAGGATTTTTTGTTTTAAAATCATTTCCATCAGAATATTCTTCAAAAAATTTTGCAAAATCTTCAAGTGAAGAATTAACAAGTTGACGTATATGTGCAGCCATACGAGCAGCAACAGTATTAAAAAATGATTCAACTATGTCCGTACTACCATCATCTTCCATTGGAACCATAGATTCCCAATATTGACGATTTTCGGCAACTATTCGACTACAACTATTCAGCCACCTGAAAAAAGAAAGCTGTTAGTACAATCCTTGCGGGATTAATTCGTGAAACATGATGTAGCTGCTCTTGTTAATCAAAGAGAAATTGTCTTATTCTATTTGTTTTGGGACAACAGCAATAAAATACGAAAGAGGAGGCACGTATCACGGCCTGTGACGGTCTCTAGCCAGCATCCATCCTTGTTTGTGATGGTCTCTGGAATGCAAAAACTTTGTACTCGATGTGCTCTACCTTACACATTTCTCCCACGACTTCGTCTGAGAAGTGTGTAGGATGCAATAGTCACCGACTACAAATAACCGGAAAAAAATATCACGTACTTCGAGACAGCTATTAAGCTATGATTCAAACGAACCTAAACCCGACTGGCTTTACCGACTGACGCCTATAATAATTTTTGACTAGCGTCTGTCACGGTCTATGGGAGTGAGCCTAAACGTTTATCTAAGATTCGAAATTCATCTAAACTTACTGTGATATAAGAGTTTGTCTCATTTGATTAACACGTTGTTCAACAAATTTTTCAAAATCATGTGGTATCATTGGTAATGATGCTTGAATAAGATCTTGAAAACTAATTAATCGTTGTTGTGTATATGTTTCATCCCAAAGTGTTTGTAAAAATGTCATTATTGGATTATTTGTATGTAATGTTATTAATAAATATTTTTTTGTTTCTTCCATTGTATCATGCCATGCTATTGGTGCACGTATTGTACGTAAACGAAATATTTTTGGTACATTTTGAATTTTAACACGTTGTCGTTCATGTGGATCTAATAAAATATAATCAACAACTGCTTTTCGAACAGCAAGATCATAACTTGTGTGAATTTCATTTTTTAATTCATCATGTAAAGATTTTAATGATGGTCGAGTGAGTTTTGATGTAAGATGTAAACAAAATCTATTATATTGATCAGCTGGTTCAGGTGCAATCATACGTGATTGAACTCCTTTGGAAATATAATACCAATATCGCTAGATAAAAGTTTAAATAAAAAGCAAAATATAATAGAAAAAATTTTTTTACTTCGACTTCTTCTTTTTTTGGTTCAGGAATATGATTTGATTCTTCGGTATTGATCCACGAAAGCAAATTCAATTGTTCTGTTGGTGAAATTGGACGTGATGGAGGCATTACCCATTTTTCTGCTCTATAATAACAACAAATATAAATTCAAGGACAAGTCATTTAAAACTTAAATATATTCATAGGTGGCCGGGCGACACGGCTAATTAATAGCTTTCATTATCTTCGACAACTAAAATTATATGCTTATTGGATTTTTTAAAAATTTCGATGAACATAAGCACATTCAAATATTTTTTCAAATGTACGTCTTTTTTTACTCAAGCTAAGACATTGTTATGCGCTGCAAAATGTCAGCTCGATCTTTCATTCCTAATTTCTCGGATGCAGATCTTATAAAAAAAATGTTCCATCGTCTATGAATATATTCTATGTGTTATATATTGTTTTTCATAGTTCCGATTAGATTTATAATAATAAGATGACACAATTTTTCTTACTTTTCTTTTCGAAAGTCTTGTGCACGTTTTTGTTTTTTTTGTATCCAATGTGGTGTTCCTGGTTCCTCACGTGTTCGTTTTAAAAATTCATCAACTAATTATAAAAAAAAATAATAAATTTGATAATCATTTTCTCACGTCATATATCAAGCAAAAAAAAATCTAACTATATGAATAGAAGAAGCAAGTAGAAACAGTTACTTACCATTAGCTATAAAAATAAAACAAAAAACAAAGAAAAAAAAAGTAATGTTAAGTGAGTAATAGTGTAAAAAAACAACACGTTTTCAAGTAGAATGTTTTAACAAAGAAAACAACAACAACAACAACAACAACAACTAATTTACCCTTTTCTAGAAAATCATCAAATATGAATGTATACTATTTTATCTCTTGTAAGTATGAAAGATTTCTACCTCCTCGATAATAACCGTCGCCTGGATATGGTATTGTTTGTTTATTTTGTGGTAATTTTCGTATATCTAAACGTTGTGCTTGTGGACTAAAATTATTAGCAATTGATTCGACAGCTGTCCGAACATGTTTTTGTTCTTTAAATGGTGCAGCTACTGTCCATGAATCTGTTTGAACTAATGGAGGGTGAGTATTTTGATGGAGAACAACCTAAACAGAGACAATCAGTATATTTGCTTTTCTTTTACATCTATTTGATGAATTTTACTTTATACAATTCCGACACTTCACCTTGATCACGAGGCCAAGCTGCTAAAGGCCTAGCGATACTGCTTGAATAAGGTGGTGCAACTAATGTCTGAAATATAGCATATCATTGATATTTTTATTTAAATAGAATATGGCATGTTTACCTTAGATTTGTCAGCAGGTTTTGTCTTCGCAACACTACCATTCTGGTTAGTTGTATGTGATCGTCCGTTGTGCATTATTCTCGAAGTTCTATTTCATACATTCGAGAAAAAATAAATCTAAAAATGAATGATAAATGAACTTGATTTCTCGTTTCTTCTTTTGTTTCGCAACATATAATAGAAGAATAAAATAAAAAAAAAGAAGTAACCTGTGTGTATACTTGAAAGTAAGTGTTTTTGTTCAGGGTTGATGCAACAAATTTTTTTTTTCGATCATATTGCCATTAATATACAAAGTTGCTTAACAACGATCTCTTTGTTGGTAAATTTAATAATGAATAGCGCCATCTGGCTAGTAACAATGTGTTTTAGATAAGACTTGACTTACCTTGAAAATGTACTTCTTCAAATCTTAAATTTATCTTTAATTGAATGAGTAGAAATTATTAAAAATAGATATGCCAGAATAAAAAGAAAAAAGAAATATTGATTAGTCCTTCTTTTTTTCAAAGTATTTTCATCGGTGATTGACAAGCGTGTGCACACGGCTTTTTTTTCTATCGTCGTCAATGAGAATAGAAGAACAATGATATGAAAACAAAAAAAAGATTTCTAGAAACGTCAGAAATTACTCTTTCGTAACATCAAAAGAACAATGAACTACTTGTTTTCTTTCTTTCTTTCTCTTTCATGGAGATCGACGTGATTGCTGTTTTATATGTAATAAAAGAATCCTTTGAAAAAACTATGATTTTATTCGGAAAGTTAATTATTCTTGTGTATTTTGTGCCATTCAATAACCGAAATAGATGTTAAAATTCAATGAATATTTTATACTCCTGAATGAGAATTATTATGGCATTCGAGTTTTACTCGATTTTGAAGTACTTATAATGTCAATTATTGAAGAAATAGATATCTCATAAAAAGTTTCTCTCCGGCATACGCAGTCATCAAACAGCTGATTAAAATGAAAGTGAAAAGTAGCTATTTCGAAATTCATTCCTAAGACTACTGATTGATTGTTTGATTATCACTCTGATTTTTTTGATAAAAGTAAAACGATTATTAACAAAATTGTGTTCCTACCATCATCGTAATTGTATCAAAATTTGACAAAAATTTGCTTTTTTTTAATAGCTTTCTCTATGAAAATGGAACATCATGTTAAAGATTGGAAAATGAATAGCATAAATACACAAATTCGATGTGAAACAATCTTAAATGTCGATAATTGAGTTTGAATTAATATAAAAATGATGAATGATTTCACCTAGAATCGATCTTCTTCTGTAGAAGGTTTTCATTATCTCAGGTAAAACATGGAGATCAAATGATCGTTTTGCGGAACTTATTGAAGGTGACCGAAAATTCATATTAAAGACTGAAAAACATTTTTATCACCACGAGACACAGATTTCTCTCAGACAAAATTCGAATGAATTTCTAGCGACCTGTCATTCTCTAGATGATCGTGACACAAAGCACAGATTTTCTTCGAGCTAAGTGTGGAGGCCGAATGCATATGCAATCAACTACACATAAATGTTGTTCTTTGCACCGCATTAAAGTTGATAAAGAAGCATTATTTTTCTTTTTTTTTTGTTGCACCACTTTTGTGCAATATTCTTAGTCCATGACAACTCGTTATAGAACATTTAATTCCAGTCATTTACAAAAAGCATGGTCACTCTTGAATGATTATTATGATTATTGTTGTATAGCACGTCATCGTAAGAAAGTCGAAGAACAACTTCGTAATGCTAATATTCCATTGACATATGTTCCATGGAAATCGATGGTTCGTACTTTACTTTGTCGACGTTTATTTAGTGATAAAGAATTAAAAGAAATGAATGCTCATACTGATGAGTGTTGTACAGAAATTGATATTGCTTCGAGTCAAGCTACGGTTAATTTTCTACTTGAAAACAATGAAAAAAACGAAAACTGTCTTACTGAAACATGGTTTGAAATTAATCAATTGAAAGAACGTTTTCAACAAGCTATTAAGACTATTCCGGTAAGTCAACATGCACAAAGAGAAATGTGCCATAAAATCTTAGGTTATCCAACAGGTAAGAAAAAAAAAACATAATTTTAATATCGACATTTGATTGCTTATTTATTTTCTATAGGATATTCGGATGAAGAAATAGATTATTATTTTAAAAAAGACGACAATGATTCATTGGATTTAACCAATGTTTTATCAATTGATGAACAAAGTCAAATGAGTACAGGTGATCTCATTGAATTTAGTGGAAATCGATTACATGATGCATTTTATATATATCGTTTACCGAACAAAGGTATTTGGGCTCAAATTCAACAAATGTGGTCAAAACATCAGATCACCAATTTCATATTTGATGATACAGAAACAGATTCTAAACAAGAAGAGATCATTCTTGTTCCAGCCATGGATGAATATGGTTATGGTGTTCCTTATTTATTTGCTACAAGGCCAACAGAATTATTACCTGATGGTGCTCTTCATAAATATGTTGACATCAATTGTCCTCTCGTATCTAAGCATAAACAAAATCCAACAATTGCACTCATACAACAACATCTTAATGAACGTTTAAAAAATCCTGTATATCAAGATAAATACATGAATGAAGAAATGAGTGTAGATTTAGATAGATTTCCACAAGAATATGTTGCTTTAGTACATATAAATGATGCGCCTAAAAATAATGTCTTATGGGCACAACGTGCTCATTACAATGGCAAGGAAAGTGCTCGAGATTTAAATGATAATTTCGAAGTCTTTTTTTCACGTCGAATTTTGGAATCCGAAGAACAATATAAGCAGACAAAAACAAAACTTAATGAATCATTAAATTGAATACAGAACATATTAAGATACATAGAGGAAAAGCTGTCTTTCTACCATAATAAACATAGAAAGCAGAACGTATTGAATCTGGGATAGGGTCAAAGACAATTAGTACTTCTTATTTCTAACAACATTTTGCACTTTATAAAGCTGTTGTGATTCTGCAAAAAAAAATTTCGTAACTTGTATCATAACTCTCGAAAGAAGAATTTTCGTTCTATTATACTGAAAAACATTATAATAGTGAAGCAGCAGTGTTGAAAAGATCGATATCTCATGAAAAACGAATAACCGCGTCTACGATTATTGACACAACGGTGCTCCTCGTGAAATATTTACAGTTCACAGCAAGGAATTTTTTGTATCACCCTTATCGAAAACTCAAATTATTTACGCTACGGTCAACTTGCTGTTTGGAAAATAAAATAAATTGAAAAGTAGATAGTCAGCTGTATTCATAGCTGTCTTAACCATAAGCAAGAAGAGTGGTGGCTAACGTTTATTATTATCTTCGTTTTACATATCTGAAAGCTTGAGAAAAAAAAGAAAGTCCACAAAAACTTGTCTTTTTGGTGGCTTTCTCTAAGAAAACGGATTCTATCGATTCGATAAATGACATTTCATTCTCGCATTTGAGTCCGTAGTTTCTGATTTTCTCTTCTTAACATCTTCGCGATCGAAAATGACATATATTGATGGGGTGGGTGTGGGTGAGTATGGCTGTGGGTAAAGAGAACAAAAACACCCACACCCTCTATATATATTTCAGCGGCGATAACTTGAGAGATGTTAAACTATATCAATGATAGTATCCAGTTTTTTTGTCTTAAAAATAATTTTGTCGACAATCTTCATGATATCCTTAGATTTGTTAAGAGACAGAAGTGTTTTAAGAGAACATTCTCTAAGAACAATCGTATTGAAAGTAAATTCGCTGCGCTGGGTGACGATATAATATGAATGATCAGATCCAGATGTACAAGACTTTAATATGGATTAAATCAGGTTGAAAAAAAGTCAAATAGGAGCATCCAACGGAATATCTCGTTTTAAACTGCCAAGAATTTCTTGTCCATTGAGACATGATTGATTAAGAAAGATTATTTAAAGTAAAATCTCTTTTGCTCAGCCTCATTTCCCACATATGTTTTTACCTTTTTTTTTAATACCGTTGTCTTTTAATAATATTAAATTGCTCTGGTATTGGATGTGATTGGATCGATGATATCAACTATCGATGTTAAATCTTGGATATTATTTAAATAATCGAAAATGAAAGGCGATTATAAATTACATATCGATTTTTGACCAAAAGATGGGATATAGATAGGCTTTTAGAGGAATGTTATGACCTGCATCTTCTTCAGATGCAATCATAAGGATTTTCCCCTCTCTATCTATACGACTATACATATGAACTTATGTTCTTCTTCTTTTCTCTTATTGTTAGTCATGTTTCATATATTGTTCCTTTCCTTCTATACATGTTGGAATTTTCCATTTCGTTGTATTCTTCTGTCTTTCATTTGTTATATGAATTTTTCCCTGTTCATCGTTTGTAGGAATTTCCCAACCCTTCTTATGACTATATATATATAGCGTTAAGTTTTGTGAAAGAGATGACGAACAGCAGAGATTACGAAAAGAGAGATACAAATAAAGTATACGTGGGATTAAGATCTCACAAGGAAGACTTCTTTTCTCGCGTGATATATATATTATTGAATTCTCTTGTGGGTGGGTGTGGGTGTGGGGTGTGGGTGTGGGTGTGGGTGTGTGGGGTGTGGGGTGTTGGTGTGTGGGGTGTTGGTGTTGGTGTGTGGGGTGTTGATGTGGGTGTGTGGGGTGTTGGTGTGGGTGAGTGGGGTGTTGGTGTGGGTGTGTGGGGTGTTGGTGTGGGTGTGTGGGGTGTTGGTGTGGGTGTGTGGGTGTGGGTGTTAGTCTCCCTTCAACTACACCCACAACCACACCCACACCCCTTAATAATATTAAAAGGAAAAAAAGAGAATGAAAAATTGTCAATTGATTATTTATCATCATTAATATATGTTTTATTTCATTATATTTTATTTGCATTATCATATACAGAAATTCTTCCATGGGAAACAGCTATTGTCGTTTTTTTGATTTTTTTGATTATTTATTATCATAGAAAATTAAGTTTTTTAACAAATAAATCATATATTAATTGGTAAGAGAAAATATAAATATAATAATAAAACAAAAAAATATTTTCGTTTACTTTACCATTTGGAAAACGAAAAGAAGAATTTGATTTGAAATATAAATGTTTTAATGATAAAATATCTTTTAACAAATATTTTTTTATTTCTTTATACACTTCATTTATGTTTAACAACAATATGTACACCAGTTATGTATTTTAATTGGTTTCTTATTATTAAAAATTGTCGATATACATATTCTAATTTACAGTATGACTCTGTTTTTTTTTCTTTTAATTTTAGTTCAAGTTATACATTGTCTGGTGGAATAATTGTTTCACTACCATGGATAATTATTTCCACTTATTATTTTATTCTCTATAAATTCAGATAAAATATTTCATTGTTATTATCTCGAAATCTATTTTTAAAATGGACTATATCAATTATAATTAACATCTTCTCTTTGTTTGTTTTTCTATATAAAAAATTTAACTTTACATTCAATATTTTCTTTTTTATTTAAAAAAAAACCTAAGATAAATAAATTTGTCAGTTAATTTAAAAGTAGATGACCAACATTGATGATTATAGAGCAGAACATTCTTGTACTCGGACCTTTAGATCATTCGAAAATAGAGTACTTTTTACATTTGTAAATGCTTTGAAGTTTGTTAGACTAAGATCCGAGTGTGACATCTGTTCTCTTCAGTTTGAAAGTCAGTGTTGGCTAAAAAAAAAGACAGACTATTTCAAACAGATTTTTCGCACATGATGAAGATCACCTAAGAAAGATCACACAAATATATATCACAGATTGACTCTACGCTAGTGCCCTCGACTTATGTTCATTTTTGTTTCTTTCTAGAAACGAGAACCATAATATCATTCAACAAAAAGAAAAAAGAAATGAAAATTTTTTACACTTCATAATAAAACTATAATGCGACATCGTTCCAAAAACGAACATCGATGTTATTTTCATTCCGTAATTTCTTTGAAATGTTTTTCTTTCCATGTGCATGACACAAAAGTGACAGATTTGTGGAATATAAAGGAACATAAATCAAAGAAATATTCATTTTTTATCATCAATAAAATTTTGTCCTTCCCAGATCTATTCATATTACAAGAATAATTGTCAAAATCTTAACATGATTTCCATATCGTTGTTCAAATTATGCACATCTGTGCCGTATTCATCGTATCTCTTCCAGTGCATAACAAAAAAATATCATTTAATAAACATATCAAACATATTAGAAAAGAAACTCTCTGTTCTTTTGACTATGAGTTAAATCTTCTAAAATCTATATTATAATTTACTATGATACTTGTTTAATACAGTTCAATCAATCTCATCATGATCGACAACGACTAGTTTTATCTATTTTAAGAATCTTAGTCACTTTTTGTTTTTCTTTTGTTAAGATGGATTTTCAATGGGATCTATCTATGTTTTTACTTTATAAGCAGATTTAAAATGCTTTAGAAATGAATGACAAATGTTCATGAAAGTAAAATGAAATTAAGACTTTTGATTCTTTTTTAATTATTCAAGTTCATTTTCCTCTCCTATCAGAAAAAAGGATAGGATCATGAGAAAACTTCGTTTTCCAACAATCGAAAATCATTGTCGCTTAGAGATATCTATTGTCTTGTTTTCAAAGGGCGTAGGTGTGGATGTGATACTCATACCTGCACCCACACCCTTATAGCTTCTTCTAAATTAGATATCCATTTTTGTCTTTCTTCAGCATCACGAGCTAATAAAGAAAATAAATGTATTTCTATGACTTTAAGATAAGATGATAAAATGTCACAAAACATGGCTTGCCTTGAAAGTGGAATGTTTTACCATGACATCGAATGGTAAACTTATAGATTACCATATAAATATCTTCCAGTTATAAAACATTTATGCATTTTATTGTAGTATCATCTTCAGAATTAATACCTAAATAGGCTCCCTTTAAAAAGAAAATTGAATAAATTAAAAAAAAAAAAAAAATTTCGATTATATACTCGTACCAAAACAAGTTCACGTCGTTCTTGCTTGACCATATTTTCCTTAGGCTAGAATAAATTATTCGATAGAATATTTTTATTTTCTTTTTATCATCTTACTGTATAATAACTAAGCATCTCTTGAGTGGGATCAAGAACAAAAAAGTGATATTGTCAATTTTGTACAACGTTTGTCCACGCACTAAGTGAACCTTCGAACAACCTCTATAAATCAAAAATAAAAATCTTATTCAATCAATAATAACTAAAGAGAGGGTGTGGGTGTTGGTGTTGGAGTAGGAAAGGATCATTACAACATCGACACCCACACTCATACCCACGCCCAACACCCACAATCCCCATTAAAGACAGGTCCCTATTACAGACCTCAGTAACGGCACGCAACAGGCTTCAGATTTATTTATTAATAAAAAAAAAGGAGTTGAACAGTACAAAGAATATGAAGCTCGACTCTTATACAATATTTCAACGCCTTCATTAATATTTGAAAAACTACAATATATATCCGTTAAAATACTTAATAGCAAAATCATCAACTTTTTTAGAATTCAAATTTGTACTTTAAAAATGAAGAATGAAGAGTAGTAATAGAGTGATCTGTCTTAGCAATCATATAATCAATATGAAAAACATGATTCGATCTTTTTATCAGTTTAAAAAATAAACGATATCACCATTTATGAGTTGATTCAGATATATAGTAGTACGGTAAGATCTGCTGATGTATATATAGTGCATTGTGATAACAGTCTGATTTATGAGATAGTCGATGATGAACAAAAAATAACAACGTCACATTAAAACAAAAACAAAAAAAATGAATAATATTGAGTGCATAACAACAATTATAAAGGAAATCGGGCGCTCTGAAATAAAAAAATTCTGTTTTAAATGTAGAAATAAATAATAAAGTCTCACTTTTGTCATCGATTATCTATGAAAACAACTACAGTGTACAAGAAATTTTTCACTTTATATATGATGTATTAGCATATTAAGTTTTAAAGATATATGTGAGTTACGCGTTTCAGCTCCGAAGGAGCTGCGCTAACAAGCTTTTTTCAAATAGTTAGAGAAATATTTTTTAATTAAGTGTCAATTAAATCCTGCAAGTCCTCATATTCACTATAAAATAAATAAACAGAAAGAGTGTATCACCTTTTATCATATGACATATTAGACAAATGAGAAAAAAAAACAACATTCTTTGAATCATAAATTTATTCATGATCAATTTTGACTTTAGAAAAATGCATTATTATTTGTATGGACGATATCGGTCAAATAGAATAGATGAGTGCATATGCATATAAATATTGACCTTCATAAATTGAAAAGAATAGATAAGTGAAAATAGACATGTTGAATTTATGTGTTGGACTAAATGATTTACCTGATGAAATTCTTATGATTATTTTCAAAAAACTCAACAATATTGATGTACTTTATTCTTTACATGGTGTCAATCAACGACTAAATAAAATTGTTCATGATTCAATTTTTACAAGTTGTTTGACTTTTGTTAAATGGTTCTCACATAATTTTATGGATCTAATTTCTTCTGATATGATGCTTAATCGATTTTGTTTACAAATTTTGCCTGAAATTCATGATAAAATCAAATGGCTAAATCTTGAATCATCATCCATGAAACATGTTTTATGTGCTACAAATTATCCTAATTTATATGCTCTTGGTCTTTATAATATTGATGAAGAGTCAGTTCGATGTCTTTTTACTAGTAAGATATTTCAATTCAATTGTCATTTATTCTATACAAATGAAAGATTTATCAAACTTATTCATATAAATGACTAGATCATTGAATATATTCATATTATTTGCATAGATTTTTTTTTGTTACTAATATTGTATTTATATTTAGGTGAAACGCTTCCATCGAATGTTTTCAAAAATCAGATTACAATATTATTTATTACAATTGATAATAATAAGGAGACGATATTGACGGTGGTAAACATATGCGATTATATCTTGACTGTTTTCACTAGTCTAATTTATTTATCATTATATGAATCATCGTATAAAAATCGTCTTCGATTATTGTTTGATGATCCACCTCCTCCTACTTTTCATTCTTCAACTCTTCAGAAATTGAATATCAAGATTCAATGTTTTGATGATTGTCTTTATCTTCTCGATGGTCGTTTTAATCAACTTAACACGCTCTATGTTGATTTGCTTAGTATTCAATGTCCAGAGGAAATTCATAATCAAGTTAGTTTTACAAGAACAACCTCTATGTTGTCAAATAACAAAAGAAATGTTGTTTTTTTTAGAGCGATTTACCAAATCTAAAATGTTTTTCTCTGTCCTGTGATTATGAAACAAATTATTACGATGAATTAATCCTTCCACTTCTCTATCGAATGTCAAATCTAGAACAACTTGGTTTGTATATTGCGATCTTTGTTGATGAAACATTTATTGATGGAAATAATTTGAAGAGAAACATTATTAATCGTATGCCACGATTAAATCAATTTAGATTTTACATTCGCTCACTCATGTTTATTCATAATCAAGTGAATTTACCATCAGCAGAAGATATTCAACGTACATTCATTGACTTTCCAAATAATAATATAATTTCTTATGTTAATTATTTTCCAGAGGCAAGAAGAGGTCGATGTCACATTTATTCATATCCATCTCGAATGCAATATTATAGTGGTATTCCAAATAATTTTCCTGGTGGATTATATACATATGTTCGTGTAGTGTTATTATTGGATGAACGTCCTTTTGAACATGAATTTTTTCTTCGAATTCAGAAATCATTTCCATTTATGGAACAATTGACTTTGATTAATCATAAATCACAAAATCGCAAACAATCTTATGAATTAAACAATGATAATCGAAATTTATCTGTTATTGAATATTCTTTTCTTAATGAACTTGATATTGTCGAGGTCCATGATGATTATATAGAACAATTTCTATTTGATACTAAAACGCATTTGCAAAATAATGTTCTTCTTTATATCAACTACGAATCTTTAAAACGAGTAACACACAATTTCACAAGAGACGCTACACGAATTAATTGTACCAAAATAAATAAATTACAACTATGTGGTGAAACAAAATGTTCGAATTTTCGTTTACAAGAATATTTTCCTCATGCAAAAATATGTTATCCAGGAAGATTTTGAAAGACGAAAAAATAAAGTATTAAATTAAAGACAAATAGAATAAAATAAGAGAAAATTGTCTTGTCTATTGTTGTAAGAAAAAAGAAAATCTACATAGATGAAAATTATCATGTGTCCTAAGTAGCAATCTGTGAAATAAATTTAATTTTGGTTAAACATATATGTGGATAAAATACGGAGTTGCAGCATTTATTGTGCAAGTTTTTTTTTGTTTCGTAATGTGTTGGTAATTATTCAGAACAATATAATAAGATTCTTAAATTTTATTCGAAATCAATAAAAATAATGATAAATAACGAGTAACGCCTCGGACCTCACTTGGTTCGATCCTCAAAAGCAGAGTATAAGGGAAATAATACTGTACTCTGCTAAAAACATTGGCAGAGATCACTTGATAGTTTTCGATCCTCGTTGTCGTGATCGATCGATCACTCGACGAAAACACTAAACCTTTCCCTTCAAACTTCTTTTAAAAACATCTCTCATTTAAAGCTACCGAAGAAGCTCCTCGTCAATCATCACCGCTAATTCGAGCAGCCACTATCGACTAGTTACTTGTATATCAAGCTTGTGTGCAGTCGTAAATAACATATTACAGCACACTATTAAGATCCTCGTTTTAGATTCTCATTACAATGCAATCTAAATGTTCGAAATTACTTTTCTACTTTCTTAAAAAGAACTAATCTAGAACGGTACACATATTTAGAGGAAAAAAATTAGTCGGTACAAATTAGAATGCACATGTTTCAATTCTTGGTTTGGAATTATTTGAGAGTGAAACTGAGACTGAGATTGGTTACAAACAAATCTTGATGAAGTCTCCAGAGAATTTCATAAAAAATTACTGATGATGCAAAGTTAAAATCAAATGTCATATTGCATAAAATGTGATCAATAAAACCAAGCTTAGATCCGAGACTCAGTTTCCAACTTCTCGATTACTAGCATCTTATCATTATTTTCAAATCTACTACTCTGTTGTTGGACTAAAAAATGTTAAGTTCATTCACATTAATGGAAGAATCGATCACGCATTAAGATCTTGGACGGGTGAATACCTAAGCCAATTCTCTCATTTTCATTGATATTTCTACAATTTTATTTTCAAAACTAACGGCAATAAGTAACGCTCGTCGATGCGAATTGCTTAATCCTCGGCCGTATCAAACACATGGATCTCTCTTGACTAGTCCTTTTTTTAATTTTTTTATTAGACGCACATGAGATTAAAATAATACTCAATTTTGGGAAAATTAATTATCCTATAGGAGTGAAAGATAGAAGCTGAAGAAATCAGAATATGTTGCCATTCAGTTCACTGTTTTCTTACCAAAATCACGATACATAACGGTTTTCCAAGCATTACCTATTGTTCTTAGATTAGCTAACATATTATTTCGAAAAGGTTTTTGTAGATTAGTGGCACCAGACATGATTATGGAGCTAAGTTTATCTGGGTGCACTGACTTCCTAGTATATTGATGCTCTTGGAAACGGTTTTTGAATGCAGTTTACATACTGCCAAAAATTAGATTCGATGAAACATAGTTATATTGAATTGGAGACTTATGTGGGAAATGGAAACTGAGTGGTTCTTCCAATCTTCTAAAGGTTAACGCTCTTCTCTCATGCGTTTGAAAAATCTTCGGTGTTCTTACACAGAACGCATAAATGTGTGACGACCAAGTAATCAATGCGACTATTTCTAGCTTAAGCGTCTCGAGATAGTTTTGTACGAATGACTAAAACAATATAGGAAATGGTTTACATAGTGGATGTCAAGTATTTCTCTTAAACTTCCAGTACAAACATTCCAATAGGAAACTACACTAACTTACATGACTATAAGCTGCCTGATATATTCTTTGATATAAACTGTGACATCTATCTCAGGTGATATGATCGTTGACCACTTGTTGTAAAGACATTAACGTAACACCCTTTCAACACTTTCGAGAATTGCTAACCGAAAGAGACATCCGAATCTTGTACAAAACTTTTCGTTTTTATTGAAAACACTATCTATAATCTGTTTCATCACGCGAGCGGAATTCCTTTTCGTTAAGTAGTAGTGTAATAATCGACACATCACTTCCACTATTCAAGTCATTTTCGAATATCTCGTCATCAAATAGCTGGTAGTCTCTAATTTGAAAACTGATTTCGATTTCTTGAAGTTTTCTTTTGAAAAAGCAAGTATGCAGCTTCTCGCTACAAAAGTTTCCAAATCATAAAGAAACGATTGACTTTACTGTCTGCATCGTTGTGAGTATGGATTATGACTCTTCAGAGTGCGCTATGTACTCCGACGCGATGATAATAGTTCGCAAGGTCAGTTTCGCGAGTAAAAGAGTTTTTGAGTAATTAAATACATGAGCAATTGCATCATGTCGATGGTATTTGAGGTTGTGGGTGTAGATGGAAGGAATACTCTGACCTGCACTCACATCCAAACACTCATACACTCACACTGTCCCACCCGTTATTTTTGGAGAACCAAAAACGTATGTAACAAATTTTCTTTATTGACTCTCTTACTTCTTGAGGTAGGACCTTTATTTTTACACAATAAGTGCACTTTGAAATGCTCTTTAAAATGACTATTTATTTGTTCAAATTGCTCAAGCAGTTGCAAAAATATATTGATAAGAAAATTACGGCGAACTTTTTTTTCCCTACCTTACAATAGGACAAAATCTTATATCTCAGTCTGAGCAAGACAATAGAGCGACAAGTTTTGTTTGCGATTAGGGTTCATTACGTTTTCTTATAGTAGGAATTTCAAGAAAACAAACCTTATAGAGCCGAGCTGCGGGACTTTTGTCCACGGCTATAAATATGATTATTTAATAGTATTTTTTGTACTTAGCAACAGATGTATGCCAATAAAATAAACGATGAATCCGTAAGAATTTGTGCTAATGAAATTTTTGTCTAATATTTTTCTATTCTAGGGTGAACTTGACTCTCAACTTGTTCAAGCAAATCCAATTCTTGCAGGTAAGAAAACAGAAACATCACATATCTAAGAACTTGAAATTTTCATTATTTTTTTGTTTTTTTTTCATAAAGGCATTCGATAATGCTAAAACAGTTAAAAATGATAATTCATCACGATTTGGTAAATTTATTTGTATTAACCTTTGATACATTGGGTTTTTATTACTGGTGCATCAATTAAAACTTATCTACTTAAAAATCTGGTACGATTCGTCAAGCTAAAGACGAACGTACATTTCATATATTTTATCAATTATTACGTGATTATAATACAAAGATGATTACAGATTATTTATTAGAAGATTTTAATCGTTATCGTTATTTAACACATCGTAATATTACAATAACAGATATTGATGATGATGAAGAATTTCAAAATACAGTTAACGTTATGCAAATAATGAATATGTCAAATGACGATTTAAATTCAATATTTTGAACAATATCAGCTGTTTTACAAATGGGTAATATACAATTTAAACAAGAACGAATAGGGATCAAGCAACATTATCTGATGATACAGTTGCACAAAAAGTTTGTCATCTTTTGGGGATTCCAGTAACAGATTTTGTACGATCATTTTTAAAAACAAAACTTCAAGTTGCAAGAGATTTTGTTATAAAAACACAAGCTCATGTACTTGAGGAAAAAACAAATATTGCTTTTAGAATGAAGAAAATTCACAAATATGGAGACGTAAAGAGAGATATATTAAATGTATTTGTTGATGGAAAGAGTTAATTCTTGTTTGTTCATAGAATTCGCTTATGAAGGAAACATCAGCTAATGAGTTTATATTGAGCTTATAAGAAGGTAGCGTAGACCTAATACAGTTAGCTCTCATGGATCTTTGGAAGGAATTTATGATTGTTTTACTGAATTTTCGATAATTCTTAAATATTTATCGAGTAAAGGAGTTTTGACTTGACACTTTGTCTGTAGATGGATCTAGTGATTCTTGGAATATCCTGAAAGTTTCAGTTAAAAGTAACATTGTTTTATCGAGATATTACATGGCTAAAATATAGTCGCTTGTTATAGACACGACATAAAAACTCAGTTTACTTGAAAATCCAGTGTCACGACAAAGAAGTACATCTTATCGGGAGAGAAAGGTTTCAGCCAGTTTTCGAATTCATTCAAAGGTTTGTCAACAAGAAAATTACACTATTTTCTATGAAGAATGGCTTATTCAGATTTTCCTCGTTTGGTATAAGACGAGTGAATATATTTTGAGGTATCTATGCATTCATATAAAAAAATGACCTTTCATTCAATCTCATTATTATCACACATTTGGAACACAACAAGATATTGATATAAATAGAGAATTAATACCTGACGTCTCCTGTTAAATTCAGTGTTATCCATCCACGTTGATCACAATTGAGTAGAAATACGATTTTTAGGCCGATCGATAGATTAGGCAAGTTCCAATTGAAATTCGGAAAAGTCAGGCATCGCATCCTTTCTTAGTGCGTTTGATTTTGTGAACTTAACATCTGTTGAGATAATTAAGAATATTTCGTCATCAATGTTTTACTCAACATGAATTTCGAGATAATATGAATTTTGTCGCGAACTTCCAGCAATCGCTAAAAGAATATTTCTTCACTGTGTACACCATTTTCGCCCTCATCTAGTACTCAGTGGATCTGTTCATTACGTAATTAATATATAGAATATGTTTAAAGTCAATAAGTATTGTGAAAGTCAGTTCGATGGAATTCCTGTTTCCTGGAGATCAATTACTTAGTATTTTATCCAGGTTTTCTCTTTCGAAGGAGCGTGCTAAAACTCCAAGAGAGCGAAATGGGGTGTGGGTGGGTGTGGGTGTGGGTAAGTAGAACAAAAACACCCACACCCTCACCCTCTATATATATTTCAGCGGTGATAACTTGAGAGATGTTAAACTATATCAATGATAGTATCCAGTTTTTTTGTCTTAAAAATAATTTTGTCGACAATCTTCATGATATCCTTAGATTTGTTAAGAGACAGAAGTGTTTTAAGNCATGTTTGATGAGTATGCTATGTAACTATTTGTTTGTTATGCTGATTATGCTTTTCTTTTTTGTTAAGTATTTTAAGGAATTTCTTTTTTTTTTTTCAATTATAGAACCCGTCAAAAGTGGTCGATTGAATTCGCCATTACGTACAATTAGTCCTTTATTGAAGGAAAATATTAATACTCGATCAATATCACCACTTCGACCTAATATTACAGTTACACATGCTGATGAAAATTATACTAATCATAGTACTGGTACAACTACAATACGGTCAAGAGATACTTCAAGAGAACGTGAAAGAGAACGGTTGGATTATACTGATCTTGAAGGTAATTCAATAATTGGATGAATATAAGGGAAATTTTCGAAGAGGAAAAATACTAACGATACATACAATCGTTAGTATTTGAATAGACACTTACTGATTGTATATTAGTGAATACTAATTTCTGAGGCTATCATGGCTGATTGGCTATTTTGTTCGTCATGCATTCAAATTACGCGGTATCAACAGTTATTGAATGACCCTAGACAAGTAGCTAGTAGCTGTTGGTCTCAGGTCACTTGTCTGTAAGCAGACTGACTAAGTTCTGACATACATCTGCCATCGTGATTAATCAGTTGTGTACAAGAAGCTCAAACTAGGCGTGTAGGTAAGATATCTGGCTAAGGAGTCTGCCGTTGAGCAATTTCCACTTTCGAAAGGTAAAGATATTCTTTTTTCGTTCGAATTTTTAAGTAATACATTTGACTATGTTCTATGTCATACAACAAAAGTGTCGTAACACTTTCTTGCATAATTGTCGAGATACGATTTATTTCAGTTTTAGTGTATCATAAAAAACATCATGTAATGAGATAACCGATTATAGGTCGCTGGAATTCCATGTAACACAGCTGCTTAATAATCAAAAGTAGATGTTTTCATGAAAATAGAGTGACTTTCCGCAAATGAGAAAAGTCTTCCAATTGATAAATCGTTTCTGAGTCGAGGCTACATGTATTATGTAAACCCAAATTAACAATGAATATCATGAAAATAGTTCAGGCTCTAAGTAATATTGCTACCGAGATACTGTACTTTTACGATATTTTTCAAATGAATGCTGTGATCCTATTGGGAACACTGGGAAAATTCGTTTTCGAATTTTAAGTTGAAATTTTGTTCAAAGACAGTTCGTAACGAGAATAGATCATTGTGATTGTTTTAGATCTTGTTGCTCTTCCTATTCTGAGATATAACTATGGTAAAAGTGTGTCTTTCCAATCGCTCATCTACACCAACAGACTCGATGTTCTGATTTCAGGATAGAAGTGAATTAAAAGACCTGAGACTTTCAAAATAACCTACTCCTGCTACAACCTATCGCTATGCAGGGATAGAAATTCGAAAGCAAATTTTTCTGAACCACGACATTCATGTTAAAAAATACTTTATGTTTGTAGTAATATGCTCACTCAGGTCCTGAATTTTTTTCAGGTTATTCAAAATTCATTTCGGTCTTCATGATGCGCTTAACTCTGATTCAAAAGCAATTAAGCAGTTGAAAGATTTCTCTTGTCAGTTGAAATACTACATGAAAAATCTCATTTTACATTTTATCATATGATGAAACAATTACTGATTAATCGTCAAAACTGAGACGATTTTGATGGCATGTGTATACTGACGAACTCGACAGCTTGCTAAATTTAGATTTTACTTGAAGTTGATCAGTTTATTTTAAAAACTGTTTAATTTTGTCTAAATCTTAACTTTGTCTTACATACACACATACATATATAGATTTCTAATGAGTGCTAATGGAATCTGATGTTATAAACAAGTCACACATTGAGAATGTATATGAATGTTTTTCTACATTAATTTATAATTTTCTTTTTATTTGCTTTTTAGTAATGGCCAAATTACAACTTGAGAGTTAGTATTTCTTACTGTTTCAGATGAACAATAATTACTTATATGTATATACTCTAATTTTATATTCAGATTTACGTCAAGCTGAGCGACAAGGTCCATTGTTTAAACGTTTTGGTATGTTAGGTTTTTTTTTCTACTTTAATAATTGTTAATTACTCCATAAATTATGTTTATCAATTATAATGATTTTATGTTAAATTCAACAAAAAAAAAAAACTCGAATTTTTTTTATGCTATCTATTTATGAACGCATAGGTCCGTTGTTCTAACGGAGCTATTCACAACATTCAGTAACTGTTGGTAATATATCAATATCAAAAAGAATCATTCTTGTATTGTAACCGAATCTAAATATCCTTATGTACTATCATTATTAAGACCAAGTCAGCAAGATGAACATGTTACAACATCAATTGTCGTTCAATACGGAGAATACATATCAGGTTTATAATGGCACATTAATCAATATATTTTGTTTTTTCGCATATCACTACTTTGCACATTAATGCTTAACTAAAACTTGTTAATTAAATCTACTTTTGTGTGCCAGTTTTTTTTTTTTGTTTTGATATAACTGCTTTCATTGGCTTGCATTTGCTTTATGTGCTTTGTAGGTGGTTCTAATGTTTCTCTTGCATCGACTAGCAGTGGTACAAGCTTATCTATGTCAAGTGAGTTTTGCGTTTACAACATTTATATTTATTGAAAAAGGAATCCAATTAATATGATCATAAAAAATGAATAGTTGAATTATAAGGCCTACCATATTACCGAAAAAAAAAAACTTTTGGTATTTACTGATAAAATATTCTAGTTTGGTTATATTTCACTAGTCTGTTTAACATCATTAGTAAAACCATAAGCTAAATTATCATAAGCATATAAACATTTATTTGTTGAGCAACATTTTGAAGATGAACATTTTTTGGAAGCATACAAGCATTTTAGTTTTCTTTGATACTTGGCTAAAAATAAAATAATTTAATAATCAATTAAATTTTCTTTATTATAAACATACTTTTCATTATTTCGTTTTGATGTATTGAATCGATTTTTGTTTTTTCGTTATTCATATCTGAAGTAATCAAAAGAATAAGTAATATGTGTTTTTTTTTTTTTTGCATAACTACTGGAAGACATAGTCATGTCAATGTACATAATGTCGAGAATTGAATGAAAAGAGAAAAAAAAGAAAGAATTTTATTTTTATAGTATGTGACAACAAAAAAGAAAAATAACTTTAAAGTTGACCTGTTCTCAATAATTTTTTAATTTTTGAAAAGCATTCAACCGTTTAAATGCGCAGTCACTTTGCAAATCTCATTTAAACATTAAACATTAAATAAAGTCAATTGTTCCGTAGGTCAAGTGTATAATATTTCTAATTGCTATAAATTAATGCTTTTGCTTTCGTTGTATGTGCATGTAAATTAAAACATGAAAATAAATAAAATGTTCAGTATGTTTTTTTTTGTAAACACTCAGTATTATATTATATTTAAATTATCAGTATAAAGTTTACTGTTCTATAATTCTTAATTGTGCTAATTTATGAATAATACTTGAATCAATAGCCATTTTAATTTTTTTTTATGAAAACATTTTTGTGTAAATAGCAGAAATGGTTCTCCATGTCGACTAATAATAGAATGAGCAGTCAAAAGAATTTTATCTAAAATAACGTATATATATATTTCTTTTCTTCTTTCCATCGCTTTAAAATAATTTCCGAGCGTTCTCCTCTCTTGATAAAGTTTAGGTACTTTTCTCTCTCATTTTGTTTTCTTGCAAATGTCATTCGTTTTCTTTACTTCGTTTTGACATATATATAGCTGTTGCGGGGGTGTCCCGAGTGGAGGAAGAAAAAAAGAATACCCTTGCCTTTCGGCTATCTTGCTGTATGGGATGCTGCATAGCAGCAGATTCTATAATCCGATATTTTTCTTACAACTAGTACTTGCTATAGTTCTGGACAGAAGATTGATCTAACATAGAGTTCTTGAGCTCTCTGCCCACATGCTAAATAATCAGAAGAGCAGATGTATGTCACAACTTAGTCAACATGCTATCTGGCGGCTGACCCAAGACAAGTAGACGTTACCAATTTGTCTACGGTCATATTTATGACTGATGATATTAAGCTTTTGTATATAGTATACTTTGTGAATACGTGTCGAAGAACGTAACCACTCAGCCATGACGACTTCGAGTGGGAGGAGTTACTATTGCAAGCTTAAGAAATTTTTGTTTTTCTTCAGATCCCTCTAACCTGAGCGATCTTAGTGCATCCCTGTGCTTTTGTTCGGAATATAAAAGACTTGATTTAGTATTGATCTGTTGTATTAATCACCTGTTAACAATNTGCTCTTTCGGATGACTATATTTTGAAATGTTTTTCTCAAGTGCCTCTGGCACTTGATTTTGGAGCACTTCGGTTTTTTGTAAAACTTTCTAAGGAAAGTTTTTTTGGGGATTTTGATCTATACTGTTTTCGATAGAGAACTTCAAGGGCTATCGAAATCACTATTTAGATTTGATCTAACTATTCGTCTTCATTGAAAAATCTCAACGACAAAAGGGGGGCTATAATTTTGTTATACCCTGTACTATATATTTACAGAACTTATTTGATATAGACTTATCTTTCGAAAAATAAGGTGTTTGCTTCGTTAGAAAAAAATTTTTTTTTTGAATGCTATCAAGATTTACTTATAGTTCTATAGTCATAGAAAAATTCTATGCACATATTCTGAAAGAGCAATTCTGATTCTAGTAAACTACCGATGTATTTAAATACGCAAGATATAGTACATTTTCGGCTTACTCTCTCATACAGAGTAGAAATTTGCACTCCCTCTCTACATCCACAGATCGTGACCGACAGACACCCTAGCGACTTTCGTCGCCTCAGCGTCACGGATAGAGTTTGCAGAAACAAAATTTGGAAGTTTCCCGTGACCATAAAACTTAGCCCTACATATCTCTAGTCACAGACTGTGATAGATGTTATTGATATACAATCAAAGACCATATACGAATTATTTCCTTATTGTATTTTTGAATTATTAAGTAAAATAATAGTGAAGAAATGTGTCTCAATATAGATAGAATAAAACAATCTCTTTGTGATTAGAAAGCACAGCTACATCACGTTCCATATTTTAATCCCGCAAGGATTGTGCTAATAGCTTTTTTTTAAAATTATTCTTTGTTTTTAGTCAACAGCTGATACACCAATAACTCGCCAAAGTTCTGTAATAAATGAACCATCTCGTAATAATCAAAAATTAAGTGAGATAGAACTTTGGACTGAATATTATCGTGTTGGTACAATGGATGCATTTCAATTGTTTCATAAACAACAATTTGAACAAGCTTTTGTTGAATTTAATGATTTTTTAACTGATCCAGCTGATGTTATATCATTATTTGCACCATTATCAGCTGATGTATGGTTAACAAAATCATATAATGAATTAAATACATTTGTTAAACAACATCGACATTTTGCTGAACCAAATGATTTTGTTGGAGTTAAATTTGAAAGTGCTTTACATGAATTACAACGTTATTTAACTGATTTACGTCGAATATTCCAAACAGTTTTTCGACGTTCACCAGATAGTTGGCTTGAAGTAAAAAACAAAACTGTCTCTTTCATTCAAACACTTTTTTTCATATATATATAGGTTCAGTCACTTGTTCGAAATCAACTTATATTAAAACCTGTTCGTGATTTATTAATTATTGTTGAAACAGCTTTACTTAAATCTTATTTAATCGATAATAATAATATATTAGCTAATGCATTATTACGTAATCAAGATAATTGTTGTTTACCATCGGAAGTTGAAAAAGAACTTAAAAAACATCATCGTCGTCAAGAATTAGTTTCATTTTATGAAAAACAAAATCGACATAGTGAAGCATTAGAATTAATTACAAATACAGAAACATTATCAACACGTGAAAATATTCTTAATTATTTATCAAAGCTTGATGATAATCAATTAACATTAATTTTTAAATATATTGAACCAATGATAAAATCAGCTTTAGAAGAAAAAAATAATGAAAATATTCTTCATGATATATTAATATTATTTGTTGGAGAATCAACACCAATATCACCATCATCAATGGATATGTCAAATATAGGAACAATTAAACTTAATCCGATTGAAGTATATGGATTTTTAAAAGATATTAATCAAGATTTCGCAATAAAATATTTAGAAACTATTTGTTTAAAACCAGAACTTGGTTCTAAACAACGTGATATTCATAATCGTCTTGTTTATGCATATTGTGATCGTATTAAACAATTATCTAATGAATTTAAACCAATGATTAAAGCTAAACAACAAAAAGTTAAAAGTGATCAACAACAAATTTATGAAGGTATCTTTTATTTTATTAATACAAGAAAAAAAATATATAAACGTGGCATGTATATATATAAATATATATAATATCACTGTTAAAATGTATTCGAACTTAATATCCTATTCTAATGTCGAAACCTCTCTTGGTAGTATCTCGCGTTTGAGATGAGACGTCGCTCAATAAGTAGAATCTGTTGAGTCTATTGTCGTTTTAAAAAAACAATGGTTCAGACTGTTTTTTTTGAATAATTTCTGATAGAAACAACATACAGATCTAGAGGTTTCACCGTTCATGAGACAACACTGGATCATCTATATATGCTCAAATCTGATTGGTCAATAACTGATCAATCAGGTAAATTTTCTATGGGTGTTTTCAGAAAATACAGATATTCTATTGCCATTTTCCATTAGATTTTGATTTGTAATATGATCAATCGATAGAAAAAGTACTTCTCTTCCAATTTACACAAGTCCCAACTTTCTAGCATATTTCGTTCAAGAGTTTCAAGGGTTTTTCTGAGCCACTCGGTTTTGAGCAAATAACTCTTGGTAAACTTCAAAAGAGCTCAAGACAGGGGTAATTTATCATCCTGAGTCGAATAATGATGTTTGTTTTCAGTTTTAAGATGACTTAAGACATGTATTTTTGAAATTTCAAAAATTTCTCTAGGGCAGTATAAAATGGAAATTTTTAAACTCTTGAAAAGGTAATCTCAAGTCACGTTAAAACTGACAACAGACATCATTACTTGACTCGGCATAATAAATGATTTCAATCTAGAGCTTTGTTGGAATTCTTCTATGTTGAATAGTGCAAACTCTTGTTCACTGTCGTTCCTATCAAAAGCTATTCAAAAAATAGACAAGTCTATTTCTTTTCGAAAACGAAAATAGACAAGTCTATTTCTTTTCGAAAACGAAAATAGACAGCAATGCAAAAAGGAAATAGTTCATATATATTATAACAAGACCACAGTTCTTTTAGATTGTGTTTCACAAAACATCACATTCTTATAAGACTCTAATTGAATGAAAGATAGTGTATGACGAATTGATTTTTCAATAAATCGATTTCATATTGTCTTATTGATAAAATTTTTTAGACAATGATGTAATTGCAACTCAATCATCATTATCTGGTCCATCATCATCAGTTAGTAGTGACAATTATTCTGCAATATCTTCAATAAAAAAACAGAAAACTGAATATGAAAATAAATTAAAATTCTTTTTACTTAATCAGAATTGTCAATGTGATTGTGATAAATTAGAAGCATATTTTCTTCAAGAACAAAATGATGCATCAAATGAACATTTATTTAGTTTACATTATGCTATTGTACTTGGTAAATTAGGTCGACATGAATTAGCACTTGAAACATTTGTAAAAAATGGTTTTTATACAGATGCTGAACGTTATTGTGAAACTATTTATTCCAATGGTAATCTCCAATTAGCACATGATCTTTATCGTCGTTTAATTGAATTTTATTTAAAAAAAAGTAATGATGGAAATTTAAATGAAAATAGTTTAAAAACAATTTTACGTATTGTTAATAATGCATCCGAACGTCTTGATCCAGTACAAACATTAGAAATTTTACCAGGTCTATTAAAATTAAATAATTTAAAAGATTTTATTGAACATGCATTACAAACATGTTCAACAAATAAACGTAGTTCACAATTAGAACGTAATTTACTTTTTTTAAAATTACTTCGTACACAATCAAATCGTATATCAAGTGAGAATCATTCGTTTATAATTGATGCTGATTCAACATGTGCTCGAACAGAATGTACACAACCATTTACAGCAACACAAGCTGTTGTAAGATTTCCAAATAATAAACTAGTTCATCTTCATTGTAGAGCTAAATATGAAGATGAATGTAACAGAAGCAATAAGAACTTATATTAAAGATTTCTTTTTTTACTTTTTTTGTTAATTGAATGTGATTGTATTTTTTTCTATTGATTTGCCGAGTGCCATAATTTTCGTTTTTTTTTTCATTCTAGATTAACTTACTTGAATCGTATAAAGCGGGGAAAATAATGGAAATATATTTTTATAGATATGTATTTTAATTGGACAAAAACCACTGGTCTTAATCGCTAAACGATTTGAAGACTATCATCAATTGAATGAGAAGAGTTTGTAGAAATACATTTAAATAATAAAAATAATCAATCGTCATTATAATCCGACACTTATATTTTGAGTTATCTTTCACAAATTTTTTGTTAATATTTAATTGTAAAAATTAAATAATAGGTCATAGTTATGCATAAACTATTGGTAGATATTCGATATTAGCGGATGAAAGAGTACAGTGATAACTAATACAGAAAGTTTTATAGTAGATGTTAATGAGGGAAAGTTTCCAAGTGTGACTTGCAAGCGAATTTATATTTTATCCGTAAATAGACTCTGACAAGACTAGTAGAAGCCTATAATGGTTCGTCCTCATGTGCTGTTCTTCCAAAGTTGTTACAATTTTACTGAATTTTTTACTTCTCAGAAAACATTTGTGAAAAAGTCGATTTGCGAAATTTCAGTCTGAAATCTTGTACATAGATAAGTCTTGTGGACATGAGCATACCATAAAAATTTCAGCCTAAAGAGATGTATTCCTTTTGCGACATTAAGTATTGAAAATACTGGATTTTCTTAAATTTCTTAGCAATAAATGAGTATTATTGGATTTTCAATATCTCAGAAGCAACACATCTTTTTAGGCTGAAATTTTCATGATATTCTAATGTCTACGAGACTTTCCTATCGACAAGATTTCAAATTGGAATTCCATAATTCAATTTTTTTGCAAATACTTTGCCAGAGATAAAAAAATTCGGTAAAGCTGTAATAACTTGTGAAGAAAAGTGCATGAACACAAACCCTTATAAACTTCTATTAGTCTCATCAGGGCCTCCTGTTGGCCAAAATATCAGTTTGATTGACAAGTCACAGTTGGGAGCCTTTTCTCGTAAGTTTATAAAATATTTAATTTTAGAAATTAAAAAGAGAATGATCGAGTTGATTGTATGGAAAATGCTTTCTTTAATCAGCACAATGATGAAATGGAAACTTTCCCTCAACTGACTGCCACATGAAAGATTAGATTATCTGAGTGCTGAAGATATATATATCAAATTCGAATCTCATCCATAATAAAGAATTTCTTTCTTATTCATTATTGTTTTTTTTTTCAGATGGATTTTGATGAATTTATTGAATCTTTGGAAAGTTTACCAATTGATTTAAGTCGTAATCTTCGACTATTACGAGAACTTGATGATAAAAGTTTATCGTTAAAATCAGAATGTTCAACAATTGCAACAAAATATCAACAAACAAAATCTCATGATGAAAAATATAACTTGATTCAAATATTAAATGATTTACAATCTCGACGTTTATTACATGCCAACGAAAAAATAACATTAGCTAATCAAGCATATGAAATGGTTGAAAAACATATTCGTCGTTTAGATGATGTACTTGAAGAGTTAGCAGCACAGCCACAAATAAATACAACTAGTAATCGAAAGAAAAAACGAACAATATCAACAAATGATGATATAAATTCAAATAAAAAACGACGTAAATTAGATAAACCATTAAATCAAGTACAAAATAAAACTTCTATTAAAAAGAAAGACCAACAGGAATTAACCAAAGTTGAACCTGTTGGTTTAGATTTATTTCCAATTGATCCATATGAACCACGATATTGTATATGTAATCAAGTATCATTTGGACGTATGATTGCATGTGATAATCCACATTGTCAAATAGAATGGTTTCATTTTGCATGTGTTAAACTTGAAGAAGAACCTAAAGGAAAATGGTTTTGTGAGAAATGTCGATCAATATCAAATTAATTATATCAATATCGAAATATATCCGTATTTAAAACAAAGAATATATTGTCTTTCTTCTTTTTTTCCTGCTATTATGTATTATTGTTATTCATTGTATATAAATACTTTATTTAATAGAGAGTAAATATATATACATATATATAACCTCTGTTGCAATGATCTTTACATTCAATGTTTATTCTCTTGTTTGAGCAGCTTTTATTTTAAATATATTGAATTTCAAAAAAATGAATATTTGAGCGAAAAAATTTATTTTATAATGAAAATATTTATTGAGAAAGTTATGTACAGTATGCAATTCGCTTATGCTTGTGCTTATTTGATACTTCTGTAAAAAAAGAAGAATATTTTCCGGAGTTCTTCCGAGAAACAAAGAAATAATAATTGTGATTTTGATTCCAAAAGCAACTGATTGTGCCCGATGTCTAACAAATAAATGACTGTTTCATAGACCAAGGCATGTACTTGAAGAACTAATTTTTGGTTGTGATATGTTTTTACAATACAAAAACTCGATTATATATATTTTGTTCAGAGGTAGAGGTTCAAAATAAAAACTCATTGAAAAATTAACATGTTCAAAAGCAAAAAGTTACTATAAAGTAAATATAGCTATGTACCGAACTCGAACTTTCGAATTCAGTCTTGGACACGGTTGGTCATTTTTAGTTAATTAATAAGAGAAAGTAAAAGTAAACCAAAAGGCAGGATTTCAGGCATAGTTATGGTAGATTTTGTACACAGTGTAAGAACAATCGAATGCTTACAGGTATTCTAGAAAAATGTTGACACTGTTCAGAACACAATGCTTATCTTAATAAAGATGAAAAGTAACTACATATATAGTCATCTTTCAATCATTGGGTCACTGTTAATAAGTGATTTTATTAGAAAAAAAACACTAATATGCTATCGAGTTTAATAAAGGTTCCAGTTATACTGTATGTGGCTGAAGGTTTTTCGATTTCCATTAGTTAATGACAAGCTCAATCAGAATATAATCGAATGAAGAAAACGCAGTTATGAATGTATTATATATGTTGACTTAAAAGAGAAATCCTTTCAAAATTTAACAGATCTTAGAATTCTATATGGACAAAAAAATGAGCGTTTCTCCGTGATGATTGTTACAAATAACGTTTCCTATATCGCATGTTTAAGATTAAATTATCAATACGTTTTGAAAAGATAATCTCATCACTATAACCTTATAGCTTCTTGAAAATATCTATTTTTGATCGATTTACGATATTATAGCCAAAGCTTAGTTCAAGAAGGTAGATAGGCGTGCTCAACCAGCCTGGTACTCCAATCCGTTTTTGTTCTTGTAACTATACTCATATATCAGAAAAATGTAATTCTTTACTAATTCTAACACATATATAATGCTGATGATCGGTTATTGTTTGAGCTTTATGTCGTGGTAGGAACGAGAGTTGTAAAGCGCTACCTTAAAATCATTTTGTTTAAGGTGTTTGATATTAGAGCTAGAACGTGTTCTTGCTCTGTACATGAAGTAAATCGGTCATAGTTATTCGACAAATAACTGTTGAAGCCCATCCATCGGACTCATTCGATGCAATTTTTTGAACGCTAAAAAATGCTGATTTCTCTTTTCTGTTTTCAACCTGACGAGATTTTAAAAGATGAAACAACCAAAAAAGTACTTGTACTTGTTAAGTACGAATGCTTTTTTCGTTGTTTCAATCCTCTAAATCTACCAAAGTCGAAAATAGAAAAGGGAAATTAGCAATTTTTTAGCGTTCAAGAAATTGCATCGAATGAGCCCAATGGATGGGCTTCAACAGTTATTTGTCAAAAAAATATACCCAATTTAATTTAAGTAAAGGGCAAATAGATATCAAACGATTTCGAAATAAGGAATCTTTGTAGATTATACGTGAGCCAACGTTTAATGTAGAACCTAATATATTATGAAAGCGAAAGTAACTTCAATGTATAATTCTTAAATAGATCGACTTTGAGAACTATAGAAAAAACGTATCAAGTTCTACGCATTAGAATATTATATATTAGAATAAGACTGTAGAAACGTTAAATTTTGTTTCTTACATGATGAAATTCTTGAAAGATTTTCTATCGTTCCAATAACATATGAAATTGGTACTGGAAGCCATATCTCAGGTTGATAAAATTCTCGGTGATTGTATATCTTTAGTAATTGGTTACAAGGTAATACACATGCTATTACGCAGTGATACACTACAAGACAAAGAATAAAAAATTTGTTCAAGTAGCAAACAAGCACAAAATTTAGAGTACTGAAAAGATTAAGACTACATGTAAACAACTAAAATCAATGACATAGAAACTTCTGCAATGGTCTGCATCTTTCCAAATGATGTTACCTATTATTTATTGTAGTCTTTGATATCGATCATCATTATTGAAAAGCCAACCACCTAAGATATAATATAGTACGATAAAATTCAACCTCGACTAGAAAAACCAATCCATTTACTACCCTCACATAAAAATAAGTCCAAATAGTGTGAAGAACAAAATAATATTTACTCAGAAGACATTTGAAATATTTAGATTCAGTTCGTCTTGTAGTTATTGGAGGTGAATCAGTAGTACGTGCAATGGTTGTTGTTGCATTTGAAGTTGAATCTGTAAGAGACATACATAAATTAATAGAAATTATAGTATAAAAATGTATTTTTTTTTATTATTAAAATATATTTAATTCATGTTTCTCATAGAAAAACTCATTTAAAAAAGCATTCTTTCAAACAATTCATGAATCATTTTGAATTTTAAAATTATCTTCGATCAAATAGTCCAGAACTACTAATGTTTTGATCTCAGTAAAACGAAGCGACAAGCTAATGCGTGATATAAATGAATTTTTTTGGTTAGAAAATATTTCTCAATCAGTTCGATTTGTGGACTAGAGAATCATTAACGAATGAGTTACAACGGTGTATTGTTTCAATATAATTGAAAGGAATTTTTCTCAACGAAGAGGCTTATTGACAATTATGTTTCTTGCGAAGAATCTTACCTGATCACAAAATAGGTCCCATGGGTATTATTATCGAAGCATTGAACTTTTGAACAAACACGTAGAGTCATCATCATATTGTATAACGAAAATTTCTCCAATATAGTCATTCAATGACTAGTTCTGTGACATTTCAACATAAAAAATTAAGATAAACTGGGGTGTGTGAATGTGGGTGTAGATAATGAGGCGACGCACACTTCACATCCACACCCTATATCATTCAACGTTTACACATTTAGTTTTTTTTTGAGAAAATGAAGTTGTAGTATAATTTTTATAAGTATACTTTCGCTCTGGGATGGATTCATCCGCTTTGAAACTGAATGCACGATTTAGATTTCTGCCATGAAAAAAATAGAAAACACTATATTCTTTTCTTCAGCGACGACGATTTTTTCAATGATAAGTTTTGAAGAAAGATGTATTATTAGATCTTTCAAAGTTAACAAAGAAGCTCTTACCATTTGGACGATGCACCACATACACATGATATAATACATAATTATGTTCACCAATTAAGAGTTTGTCATTTATATATAAGATACTAAAAAAGTTCATAAAAATTACAATACTATATTAATCAAGTAGTATTTCAAACTAAAAAAAGGAGCATTATCATTTTGGAAGATTATGCCTCATTTACGAGATGTTGATTGAGTCAGCAACTTTTTCTGAAAAAAAATTCTTTTCAAAGTAATGATTAGATCACTTTTCTAATTTGAATCTCAAAAGTCCAATATTATTATTAGCTGGTCATGGACAAAGAGAAATACAAAATGTTCCATTGAATAAAATTAGACTATTTTGGATTCCTCACAAAATTAAAATACAGCTTTTAAAAAAATCCTATCAAATCTATGGTGTCACCAATGTAAATGGTTAGTATTTTTTTGCGATCATTAGTCTTGATAAGATTGAAATAAGAATACAACTAAACCATTAGCATAAAAGACACTTACCCATGCCAAAGACCAAATATGGGATCTTTGAATTTTAATGCTTTTTCATTTAAAAAATATAAATTTAATAAATCAATGGAAATAGAAAACTTATCATCAATCGACAAATTGGGTACTACTAGAGAATAGGAACACTCACATTGTTTAATGTATACAGAACACGAAAGAACCTATTGGTGCAACAACTATTCAGTATATTGTGATGATAAGGGTGTTTCCATTCTGCCGTAGAACCGAAAATCAAATCGAGTAATAGAAATAATAATACACCATTGCTACGGCACTATTTTGATAATTGTTCGTTCCAGTACATGAGATTTCGTCCTAAACTGTAACTGTTCATTTTCATTATAGGAATATAAGATAATGTTTATTTTAATAAATTTAAGTGTTAAATTTTAAGTTCATATTAACTGAAGTTATATATTCGTCGAGATTGTTGATATCATAAAATACATAGTGTTATTTCTTTCAATCATGCATCAAGATTCACGTGCACTTTTTTTCTTTTTTCTTTGGTTATTCACTTGCACGTAATCGTTTGATATCGATGTCCAATTTAGAGTGTTGAGATGATATACATTTAACAAATTTAGTAATATGTACAAGGATATTTTATTGATACATGGTTGTTGAGTGCATGATACCATCTCCAGATGACATTATTCGATTGCAGCAAGTCTTGTATAACCTGCACATAGAAATTGCACCTCATAACCGCACATTGCAATGATTTACTAGACACGAAGATATTTACATAATCTTTCTTTTTGAATCATTGTTATAATTTAGTGATGAAAAATAGAACTAACAAAAACGTGTGGTATCAATGAAAATCAACATTAATTTATGACTTCGATAATGAACAAGAGAATAGCAAATTAGTTTTGAAAACATGAGGAATCTAAACCAAAATTATGTAATATATACCGAAAAAAAAAACTCATCGAATTCAATACAAGACCCAACGACTGGAATCCGTCCGGTTGAAAATTTTCGAACTCGGATCC